CCAACATCAGATCATTATGTAAATTCTAATACTTGGACCACACAGCCGGAAATTACAACAGTGTCACAGTCACAAAGTAATCAAACGTATCCAAACACTGTTGTTACAGAAATGCCAACAGTTGCGACAGATGCACCTATTAAAGGTCATGGTGGAAATCCAGTGCTAGCTGCTTGGATGGATAAACACGCTCATGTATTTGGAGATACAGGCGCAGCAATAACTTATGAAAACACAACCGCTGAGACCACTACAACTCTGTATACCAAAATATTAAATGAAGTGGAAGAATTAAACCGAAGGAATCCCTTAATTCATCATAAATCTAAATCAGCAGCTAAACAATCACACAAACAAAATTACTTCCAAAGCGGTCTCTCAGATTTGACTCAAACACTTGTGAAGACACCAGATGCAAATTTAGTTAGGATTGAACGTCTTCTTTTGATGAAAACTCTTGCTGGTCTTGTGCGAACAATGGGAATGCTTCAGAAATTCATAATTGATTCACGATCAACAGGCCAACCGATATTGACACCAACTTTACCTATGACAGCATCGACACAAACAGTTCAGTCAAATAAGGCCTCAGTCTATATTCAACCGAATACGGTCATCCAGACTGCAACTGGAGCACCCGTGACAGCACCAGCATTCCCGGCGACTTTCGTGCCGGTAACAGCTGCCCCACAACCAACTACAGCTGCCCCACAACCAACTACAGCTGCCCCACAACCAACAACCGCTGCCCCACAACCAACAACCGCTGCCCCACAACCTACAACCGCTGCCCCACAACCAACGTCAGCTGCCCCACAAACAACAACTGCTGCACCAGCGGCAACAAAAGTTGATTTAGAAACAGCTGCTGTTTTACGGTACGCAGAGACTACACCGACTGAAACGAAAGGAATAACACACCCTCCCACTTACCCTACGAAACAGGAATCACCCGTTACCTATGCTGATACTACGAATAATGAACCATTTAATCCATCTCAACCGCCGAAGCCTTACTTACCTTCCTACGACAGTCCTGAACAACATTCCCAAAGTAATACATACAACGATTTTCAAAGCAATGTAAAAGCGAATGATCTAACAAAGAGCTCATTCATCCAAACAACCTCAGAGAAAGCAGGACCTCTTCCATCCACAAACGAAATAGCACACATCAAAGAGATTCCGTCAGCTAATGAGAGATGGGCTCAAGCCATAGCGTTTGTACGAAGATATGTGGCAGGTTAGATAATATCACAGAAATCATTTAGGTTGACGGTCCCATTAATCAACAGAAAAGTTGCATCTAACAAAAGTGCTGAACAGAGCTCTTGATCTCAGGATGAATTTACATAAACAGTGATGCAAATTAAAACACAAACAGTTAACGAATCTGTATAAATAAATAAATGAGCCGCGTCATGACAAAACCAACATAATGGGTTTGCGACCAGCATGGATCCAGACTGATCAGGATCCATGCTGTTCGCTGTCAGTTTCTCTACTTGTAATTGGGCTTGTAAGCGAATAGCATGGATCCTGATCAGACTGCTCGGATGCGCAGGCTGGTCTGGATCCATGCTGGTCGCAAACCCATTATGTTGGTTTTGTCATGACGCGGCTCAAATACTTTCTTAAAGTATGAGACGACTTCAAGAGCTCTGACTATCAATGTCGATGTTTGTAAACCGCAGATTCCGACTGTGTATTTATTGTTTCTAACATGTCCATTAATATTTAACATGTGCTTTGAATGTTTTAAAATTTCAAGAGGAGCTGTTATGTGAACGCTTTTAATAATGAAAAAATGCCATGTACATGCATAAATGATAGCAGCGTGCGAAACAAAAGCCATAAGAAGCGCTAAGCGGACGCGTTGAAAATATAAGAACTTGAAAATTTCAAGAGGAGCTGTTATGTGACACGCTCTAAATACTGAAAAAAAAGCCATGTGCATTCATAAATCATAGCACCGCGCGAAACAAAAGCCATCAGAAGCGCTAAAGCGGGCGCGTTGAAATATTGAAATATTAAGAACTTATAAGGAACCATTGGAAACTAGAAACAACAGGATAATGAAAAGTGTATGATCAAACCGAATAACTTATAGACAATAGTTTTATAAATTTACTGATTTCCGTAAGGAATTTTAATGCAGTTTTATCAGATTTTATACCAATGTTTTTGTTTCTTTTCTTGTGCAATTATTACTTGTTTCTTTGTGAATTGCCATATTTTTTTCAAACAATATCTTTATATATACTTATAATAAGGATCATTTAATGATTTATTACAATATCTTCTGACCGATGTCGGTGTAATGTTGTTTAGCACGTGTAATACCATTCTTGACATATATTTTTGTATAGAAACTTTTTTTATAAACTATAAAGAAGTGTACGTAAGTAAATGACATGGAAGGAAGTGTGTTATTGAATACTTTGGTATTGAATTAATGCTGTTATTTAATATTATGGTTTGAAATAAGCGGTCTTTTTGTTACTGTATTTATTTTGTCTGTTTACAAAGTAAGTTTATAAAATTACATAAGGTCGTTGCAAAATTAAAATTTATTAGTCATTAAATTGCATTCCATTTTTAAAGAAAGATACTGGAAGTATCGACAACTTATGATGTATAGATATGCTATGTTATCATAATAGAGTATAGATATGTTTGTATGTATATATCATCTTTTATAGCTTTAAACATCATTGTTACATTAAGTCTCATTGTTAAACACGTCTTATGCACAGCTGTCGCAGATGTAGCAAGGAGAGATAAAATAGCAGCAGCGTCCCCTGCAAATAGCGCAGCAGCGACCTCTAGTGAGCATCCACCGCCACCACCAATACCAACAAATTCTGTTACACAATTGTTGGACCTTTCACAAACCAAAATTAACAAAAATGAAGGTTCAACTTCCACTAATAGAGTCTCGTTTACAAAAACTACATCAGTTACTAATTCAAGGACAACCAGTGAAAGTTCTTCAAGTGTAAGTCCAACAACGTCAAGCAAATCCCTACAAACCATGTTCTCAACAGAACCGAAAATGAATATTTTTGAAAATCTTTCTTCGAAAGGTCCGACAAGTGTTTCAAAATCTGTTGCGCCTATGTCCGTACCAGCTTTGACCAGTTCAGTAACCCCGACTGCTAGGAACACTGATAGAAAAGGTAAAAATACAAACTGTTACCAAGTCTGGGCAGCATAAATTTAAGTTTTACGCCTGACGTTCGTCCAAACTTTCACCATAGCGTTTGTCTGTTTGTTCTTTTACCTTAGAACAACTGCCAAATTAAAAATTTATACAATAAACCAAATGTCTTTGAGAGAATGTGGAAAGAAGTTACCTTGAAATGTAAATACTTTTAAATTAATGCATTTTAGAAAAGAACTCGACTATCATTTTTTCTTAAATTCACAAGATCCAATAGGATTGAACATTTAACTTATGCCAAAACTCATTTATTTCAAATCCCAACACAGTTAACCCTTTCCGTCAAGTCAACTATTTTTAGACAAATGCTAAAGAAGCGCCCCTACACCTTTTTATGAAGCAGCTAAGCGAAGTTATATTTGTTTCTGTATGGCTTCAATGCTTCCCATTTTAATGCTTCCTTTGAACGTTTGCTTTGCTTGATCATTTACTTGAACTCATGAAGTGCTTTTTAGTGAAACAGTGTTCGATAACAGGAACACGTGTTCGATAAGAGGAACACGTGACTTAATCATGATTGGTATTATTTAGATATTTGCATAAGTTGACAAAACATCATATATCATTAATATTGTATCTAAATTTGTTTATTAACTATTGAAATGACAAACATGTATTTATATATATATATGTATATTTAATGATGTTATTAACAAGTATATGACAAACATGTATACATGTAAATATCATCTTTGAAGCATGTTCGTATATGTAATTTGTATCTATCAGACCTATATAGATACTAATAAGAATGTTTTAACATATTAATTTAAAATTTACAATAGTTTAAGTTACAAATGTTTACTCAATTTGTATTTAAATAGTTTTAAAAATGAAAAGGATTTTGTTTTATATAAATGATTTGTGTGTACATATTTTGTTAAAAATAAAAACTAATAGGATTATTTTTTCATTGATTGTTTAAAATATTACCTGATTGAATGCAATACCTCTTGGAACTGTATCTTTTTATAATTGTTGTCACATCTCACTATTTAATTTTATATGCTCGGTGCACCTCATATTTTCCGATCCTAGTACAGCAAATGTAAAACAACTTGTTGAATAAGTGTTTTAATTTTTCGAAATATATATGAATTCAATGTTTCGGAAATTTTCGGCATACCTCGGTATTTTACGACGGATAGTGTTAGTGTGGACCTAAACCAATGTAGATTTTAATGGTAAGTATAGACATATATAAATATATCCTCTTAATATAATGTACTCAGTCAGAAATACTTTAAAATGCATGGGTTGAGTTATCATGAACTAACATTTACGGTGTTTGTAAGAAGTTCAGAATAACTTTGAAGATACTTGATTTGAACTTCCTATAAACTTGTACAAACTTGTATATTTCTAATTGTCATATATACATATATATACACACACATATATATATAATATAATATATATAAACTGCTACTTTCATACAACAATGTAATAACGGCATGCATGCTAGATGCGCTGTATAATATCTATATGCTATGATATATATATAGCCTGCGACTGCAGATGCGAAGTGTAAAAAGTGCAAAGCTGAAGGGAATATGAAGAAACGATAAAAAGGAAGAAAAATATTGATAAAAATCAAATAAAAATACATGTCTGAAAAAAATCAACCTTAAACTTTACTAGCCAAAAATGATAAAAAAACTTGACTCATTATTCGTTATGATAATTTAAGTCGTGTACCCCTTATTTCCAAATCTAAAATGTTTTTTTTTTACTATGCCAAACGATGATTGCGCATGACTCAGCTGTTTTCTTACAGGCACCACAGCACCACCTGATCCTACAGAACACCAAATCAATATGGCAATTGTTGGAATTAACAATGCAAAAACCGAGACAGCTGCCGCTGCAGCTGCGGCTGCTATCTACAGTCCTGCACTAGATCTGTCGGATAATGTGAAACAAGCCTTGGAAAACAAAATTCGTCAGCTTCGTACTCCAGCAGGATGGCCACACCCAATTCCTCCGCCTTTGCCCTTCGGTTTCGACGTCATGCACATCATTATGAATTCTTTCTATGGCGGTCCGGTGACATCCGCCCCAATGATTTCAGGACCACCGGCTCCAGCTGCGATACAAAATCGAGGCCCACCTACATCCATCCGCCGCGGTCCATCACCAGGTAAAAGGCGAAGCGGCAGCACACAGCAATCAAATGCATGGCAACAGAATTCTGGGAACGCTGCCGGCACGTGGGATTCTGGAGCAGGAACTGGAATCGCACAGCATGGTGGTGTAGGGCAAACTAATACGCAGCAACAATCTGGAAATGCAGATTGGACACAGCTTGCAAGCTCTAATCCGGACTTTTTCAATCCTTTCCTATTCAACCATTTTAACACCAATGCTGGTTTCTTTTGGAAATAAACGATAATTTAGACAAAAGCAATGTTATCAGGCTTGCCTCTACTGCTTGCCTTTACTCGGCACATTCTGTATAAACTTACATGTATATACTTTGACATTCAGACTGTACATTTTAATACCGGACTGCAAAAGCGTGGACGTTTAAAGGAAAGAAAAAACCTTTGCAAGGACAATTTTAGTACATGTAATTTTAATGATAGATTTGTAAGCACCCGTCGAAAATTTCTGATAAATATATTTTCCTTCATTGATATCTTGTAACATTAACTTTCTAGTTTTGGGTATAATTGATACAGTTTTCATTTTTTTCAAAATATGATTCCACTCAGCCGCTTGCCTTTTGCTTTGTTAAACTTGCTTACTTTTAAATGTTGGTGTTTGGAGATGACTTCATTGTTTTCCAGTATATTTCATTGTTTTCTGCGAGCTTTGTTGTCATGGTATGATTTTTTAAAGCTTAAAATCGGCTTTAGCCACAGGTCGCATGTTGTTCTGATAATTTGTAATCTCGACAAAAACTGAGTCTGCTGTCGGATGTCTCAACTTCAGCAAATGATACAAGATATGGATTTTCTTTACCACCGACCAAACCGAATGTATATAAAGCAAGAAAATATGTTCATTCTGTACCAATTTATGAAAACATTCAAAAAGAAGAAGGTTTACTGACTTAACACAAAGTACGAACAGTAAAATATACTGCCGACAGCTGTAGTTCTAGACAAACACCAACAGAAATGCTTTGCGTATAACCAGAATATGTTTAAATATATATTGTATAAGGTATCCATTTTCCTAACAGTTTGTAAGATATGATTTTTAAGAGAAAGTATGTTCATTTTGATCAACATTATCACTTTGTGGCATCATAGTTGGGGAGGGGAGTTATGTTAATATAATTATTATTTGTGGACAAGGAGAGAATTCATTACAAAAGTCTTCTAGAATTAGCTTTTGTCATTTATAAGCTTTTAGTGGGCGGGGAGGGGGGGGGGGGGTTAGTGGTACATGTATAATATTTTATGACACATGATAGTGGTTGTCAATACAATACAATAAAATCAATTACAATACAATACAATTAAATCAATTACAATATTTGAACAGTGTGATTTATATAAAAAAAAGCGAGAAAAAGCTATAATAACAGTGGATTGGTATTTATTTTATTATAAGATATGGAATGTCTGTAGGAAAATGGATGCTTGAAGAGTTTTAAGAGTTGTTGCTTATAAAGTGCCCGATGCTTGTTACAAGCGGTAATTAATGCATCTACTTGTTAAAACCAGGTATATAATTAGCTGTACAGACCTTTGCCTGGTTTAATATGGTCATATATAAACGATTTATTTCTGTAAAAACGTATCAACTGTTTTACTGGAAAATCAAGCGTTTATTCACCACAATTTATACAGCCAAAGTTCTAATCTACGTATTTATAACGCTACATAATTGCGCTCTATAATTGCATTAGTTCGAATATTTGCAGAAACCGTGCATATAAATAATATAAATATCATAATTGTTTCATGGAATTCAGAGTTACTAACACGCAGTGTAATATTTGGAATTCTAAAATCATGATATGTTATCTTGTAATCTTATTGTTTCTTATTGCATTTTGAGATGTTGCTAATAATTTAAAGTCTTGTGCTATAGTGTGCACTTTTTCAAAGCATGTGCAATGATTGGATATTAGTTTAAAGTCGTCTTTCTTTTAAAGTCCTTGCATAAACTAAGAATGTAACTTTCAAACACTTATATCATAATAGTATGTTATCGTTTTTGTTAAATCGTTGTGACATTATGCACGGCATGGATAATTGACTTTTAATTGTCTCTAAATTCAAAAGTTCATCATTTTCGTGTTTAAATGTTGAATTCTGCTTAAGCCGGTGCTAGGGGCGTGAACGGTAACTTACACCTTCCAATACCGTCCATGAACAGGCTCAATCAAACCGAGCCTATAACCGTTTCAATTTTGCCGTGTTTGGCTTTCTTTAGGGATTCTGTTTTTCTCTAATATTTGGTTGATTAGCAAGATGTAGGCATTATGTACGACATAGATAATTGACAATAAGTTGATGAGCAATTTGCAGGCATGTTATACATAAGTTATAACTTATTATAGACCGACACATCATGTTATTTTAATGCGCACGAGATATCGCCTTGACTGGGTTCATGACAGCTGCACGAGAATATCATGATTTGCAATGTTTGAACACACATACAAAATATCAGTCACGGTAAATGCACATGTACCTGGTTATAACGACCTTCGTACTGTACGTCCATTGAGGATAATGATATTTCTGTTATGTTTATTTCCATAATTAACTAAGGGTATTCGATGATGAACTGGTCAATTACCGCTTAGCAACATCGGGCACTTTTGTTTAGATAATTGTTTTAGATACTTGCATAATGAATATGTTACAGATTTTTTACTAATGTATTTTATCTGATAAAAAAATAAAAAAATGCATTATTCAAAATCAGAAGGTGACGTAATATATATATGAAAGGTTGACCGATTTCTGAAAATAATAAATTGTTGATAAAAAATGATGATAAAACATGTTTAAAGTGACATTATGCTCATCCAAGGGTTTACAGTGAGTGATCATTTTGCCATAATATCTTTCAAATTTATAATGAACTTGGCATAAAAGATAAAAAACTAACGTGACTCAAGGACATTTAAATGTCTAATGGAATTTAACCGTAACGTGAAATTATATGAGTGGACCAGTCTTTTTCATACATTTTAGGCAAATTTATATTTTTTCCTTAACATTTTTCAACATCAACGATTGGTCTATCACCATTTAAAACAGACAGTCGATCTTTTGAAATATAATGATAGTCAATTCAGCGCAACCTGACAATGAAATATTGGTATAATGTCACTTAAAACGGCTTCTGAAATTATGTTATTGATTAAAGCGCGATTTCTTTGTGCGTATATCTATATAAGAATAGATGGAGGAAGGACTTTTTACATGAATATTTACAAGCACTTCTACTATAGCAGAATTGTCATTTATTCAATAGATAGTCAATAAATAATCTAGTTTATCAAAACCTTACTGTTTTTCTTTGTCATTCAAACAAAAGTGTATACGATATATTGTGAACCGACAAGTAATCCTAAATGTAATATTTGATATCAGCTATTGATGTAAATGAATTATTGAAAGTAAGTTATTATTTACATATATACTATCAGTCTATCATTTACACTTTTTTAATTTAAGATATTACTTAAACTTTGAAGTAAATTAAATAGAATTTAGCTTTGAAAAGTATCATTTACTTTACTAAATAGCATTACAATAATATAATTTTCTACAATGTATGATAGAGGGGGCTGATCTTGAGATATTTATAATGTTGACATAAAAATGTAATAGTCACGTTCAATCCCTGGTTTTTACTAGGGACAGCCTATTTACCAGGCGGAGCAATGTCGGGTATCGGAGCTATGGGAACATTCGGTGCTGGAAATGGACTGACAGGTCCATCAAGATTTATGGAGCCTACAAACTGGGAAGTTGATCTTGCTGTTCACAATGTTAACGCTGCAACAACCGAGGCAGAAGCGGCGAAGGCTGCTGCCGCCGTTTACAGAATAGGCCTCGACGCACCGGATGCTGTGGTGAGTGCGTTTGAAGAGAAGGTTGCAAGACTAAGGAACCCTAATTGGACCGGACGAAACCCGCCTAAACTCCCAAGGACATTTAGGCCAATGTCATTCATTGTCCGGGCATGGAAGGAATTGCAAACACTAGCAAATGCCCAGGCTGCTGCCAATGCAGCTTCAATGGCTATCGCGGCACCTAACCCAGCAGGTAAATTACTATTTCCCCCATTTTTTAACAAAAAATTAGTTACAACAATTATAAAGGAAATCTTTAAAACACTGCAGCATTAGAGTACCTGGCATTGAGGTATTTTCATATATTTAAAATACAAACGTTTTGATAATGGATGATAGACTGTCAAATAAAGATTTTTGTCTACTAATGAAAACACAATCATCATTTTAACATGGTTTAAAAAAGCTGAGGTGTTGTCACAAGCTGACACCATTGGCTATATATTAGAATTTTTTTTTTTCATGTTCAGCAACTTTCGTAGTTCGGATAACTGTAGATAGGAACTGTTTTTATAAGATATAAACATATTATAGTACAGAGCTTTATCATTTTTTTTCCACAACAGTGATGAATTTCAGAGGTACTAAATAGCAAGAGTTTATTGTAATTAAACTGAAGTTTCCAATTGCAATTTTTGTAGCATTCTTATTTGACAATTTAATTGAATTAGTCAAACATTTAGAAACTTATAATTTTTCTCAACATCTGAGATATTATTTTAATTTATGTAGTTTTTGAATAGGTTCAGTAACATTTCCACAAAATACTTCTGCAGCATTATTTTATAAATAAACAGCGTTACTATGACGTCAAAGCGCCCTCTATCGGTTCAGTAAAATCTCCACAAAATGACACAAAAAGTTCATATTGTAAATTTCAGTTTAACATTGACGTCATAATTTGACGTCATCATAATACGTAGGCGTCTCGTTCTAAATGCATGTTGGCTTATATGTTAAATAGCCGTTTAGATAACTTATATGGCCATAATCACTGCAGTGGATTATTGATATAAAACAACCCCTTTAGTATTGTTTGTCGTTTAATTTTCTAACAGATAGTTTACGAACCCTTTTTTGCAGAATAAAAGAGACAATTTTCTTATCTAAAGTCTTTATCGTAAGGTTTTCGTACTCAAAAGCAAAATTGTTTATTTTGTATTTCCATCAGGATTCGGAAGAAGGTTTTAATTGGTCCTCATTTGTCACGTGTCCTATGGATAAATCTGATTGGTCAAACCAGCTCACGGTGAACGAGTAGAGATAGTTGAATGATTAGATTGACTTGTATTTGTGGGCTTAGATAATAATAAAATCTTAAATCATTTAACTCTGTTTTAGCACTCCTGTAGATAGAATTTAAGAATTTAACAGTGCAAGCAAATCGAATTCCTCGTATAAGTCGAAAACAAAGTACAAAAACTGTGAAATTTTTATCGTGGGACAAACACTTTTACTCAACTTACGACAAGGCATTCATGAAAATATATCATGTGTAAACAAATAAAAAAGCTATAATAAATGATAACTTTAATGAGTAGGTAAATCTAAAAAAAAAACAAATTAAACCGCAATAAGGGACATATTTGAGTTAAGGATATTCGACGCTCAATATCCGGATAAATCAATATCCGAATAAATAAATACCCGGATAAATTGTTATTGCTACATACACCTGTCCTCTTGCTCTGGCACAAAAATAATATTGTTTCTTCTACCCCTTGAGTATATGCAATATACTACCAGCAACTGTAGAAGGAGCAATTTAAACTAATTCACATCAACAGCTGCCCTATTACCTCAGTTGTCTTGGTGGTAGCGAATAAACAACGCTTTCTTTAAGTTTTGTTCATGTAATGTCATGCATGTTCTGTAGCTATCGTTTGGATTCCAATATATACCACCTTTGTATCACATACATTCAACTCATTTTGAAGCATACTATGATTTTCTCTCTACATTTTCAAAATGTTTTAAAACTGTGTACTACTTGATTTCGTGGGGAAAGCTCCCTTTTCATATAATGTTAAACACAGATGAAAGTGAGTGTTTGTATTTTTACTAAACAAATATTTTATTTATCAAACCGTTTTATAACTATATATTATATGAATGCGATTATGATTAAACATTTATATAAATCATAAATAAGACTATTACACATATAGTGCTTTTGTATAAACAAGATTTACTAAAACAAAATGATTTAACTGATGTTTTTACTATCTATTTAGAACAAACAGAAAGAGATAATGATGAATTAACCCTTGTAATTCAGTAATTTAAATACAAATTTTAAAGTGGAAAACAAGTTCATTTACATAACAATGTAAGCCAGTTAAGCTATCTGTTGACCTTTCCATTACAGGTCCTCCAGCGGTTCCAGCCCCGCCCAAACAGAGTAAACCAAAACAACCTGTTACAAAACCAGCAAAATCAAAGACATCTAAACGTCCTCCACCTCCGTCCAGAGCTCAAGTTGAGAGACAGCTCCGAATGCAGGAACAGAGAGCCCCGCCTCAAAATTCTTTCTTTCAAAACTTTATTGAAAAAAGCAGGCGGAATAAGCCTGCCCCTGCGCCGCCCGCTTTTCCTAACCTATTTGGAATGAACTCTGGTCAAAGGCAAATTGATCAAAGATATCAAATGTTTTCACCCCCGGTTCATAACATGAATGCCCCAAGGTACATAACGAATGCTCCAAGACAAGCACCTCCTCAACAACCAAGGTATCAAACAAATGCGCCCGCTAGGATATTTCAAGATACTCCGAGATACCAAACAAACGCGCCTCCTCAGACTTTCCAAAATACACCAAGAGCGCCACCTAAGACTTTCCAAAATACACCAAGAGCGCCTCCTCAGACTTTCCAAAATACACCAAGATATCAAACAAATGCGCCGCATGCAACTCAGCCGCCAATTATTCCAAACAAACCAGAACCAAAAAAGCCAGTTGATCCGTTTTTAGGAAGTGGACAAGTAAAACAAGCAGTGCCACCAACACGTCAAACAGACATGTTTAGAAATACAAAACAGCCAACAACAACTAAGTCAAGGAAGGAGCCACTTAGTTTAGAAGAATTATTCGGACTACCGGCCGAAATACCTTCAGTCAAAACTCAACCTCCAACACCAAAACTTGTAACACCAACACCAACGACGAATCCCCAAAAACCAGCACCCAGATATCCCTCTAGTATTCTTAAACCACGGCAACAGTCTGGAGACGTGCCAAAGCCTCCATCTTTGATCAAAGCGACAACAAAATCTGTACCTAAACCACCTTCATCAATGTCATTCACTCGACCAGAGGCTAGTATAACATCAAGAAGACAGAGTGTTGACAGGTATGGTCCAACAATACCAGTAACGAAAGTAACACCGCCAACACCAAAACAGTCTAACGTTTTTGTAAGAGACAGTGTTAAATTACAGAAGAAAGTTGACCCGACAATAAAACCGGTCCAAGTAAAACGAGAAAAGAAAGTTAACCCATCAAAACTTTCTAGATTACAAGAAAGGTATCCTGGTTTAAAATACAAACGCTCGTCAAAACAACAGTTAAAAGAACAACAACAACAGCATCATCAAGAACTGGATTACTTTGAAGGTGGTCAGAATCCGCAAATAATGCCGCTTGATGAGCCTTTCACGAACAATAAACGACGACCAAGCGAAATGCCCTCTGCAAAATATTCGGTGTCAAGTGCTCATAAAAGTTCAAAACCGCATACGCCTTCATATTTTAAAAAGTCCCATCAGATTTGGTCCCCAACAGGCAATCTTGGCGTAGGAATAAATAAAATATTGAAGTCGTCAATCATTGTAGATGGCGTACCTATACCAACTAAGACCCCGCCCCCACCGCCCCCGACAACAACTACTACCACCACCACTACTACTACTACTACAACAACCACACCAAAACCAACAACTACTACAACAACAACACAAAAGCCGACAACAACAACTCAAAGGCCAACAACAACAACTACAACGCAAAGGCCAACAACAACCACGCATGCGCCACAAACAACACGAGTTAAGTCAACAACAACAAGTAAGTTTTAGAACAGAAACGCGAAACGTCGGGGTTTTCCGGAAAGTTTCTAGAGGTGAACGTGAAAGGTAAATTTAAACTTTCATGAATTGAGTGCTTCTGATAAAAATACTAGTTTTACGTCGTAAATACACAATGTATTTATGATCTTAAGACTTAAACAATTTAGAAAGTGAGTATAAGTTCTTGCCAAAAAAGATTGACACCGTTGCTGTGAAATCGCATCGAAGAACAAACAAACGCGTTGTCCATAACAAAGTTATCGCAAGTAATGACGTCATTTCAAAGCACGCGAATTGTCTTTTATAAGATTGTAAGTTTGAGCTTTCTGGCACAAGTAAACCAGTTGAAAAATCCCGATAAGCAAACGGTTTCTTACGGTTTGATAACATATTTGCTAAATGTCGAAACCAAAAAAAAAGGAGATGATGAAAATTTTTATTTTGTTCTCGCGAGAGAACTTGAGAGAAAACGATATCGAGGTATTAATGCGCGAACGTACGGAGTTAAGTTTATTCGATATAAACTTGTGTGAATATATGTATATCTAAAGAAAAGGTGTAGATAAAAAAATCAAACGATTTTGAATGGTACAGTTCCGAGAGGGTATTACATAAAATCATAAAATTTACTACGCTCCACAGCCTTATTAATGTTATGTTTGTATAAATCATTGTTGTATTTTTATCTGATTTCATCATAAAGTCTATGTTTAAACAAAAATTAAATAAAATTTCTTATTTTTTATTTCTCCTATTATAGAAGTATCTAAGAAAACCGTAGCTCCTGCGGACACAGCTGCTGCAAAATCTGGTAAACTTTCACCAAAAGATAAACTTCGAGAACTTGAAACACTTTTACGTAAGCTATTTATTTATTACTTTTGTTGTTTATCTGTAGACGCCAATACAATTACAGTTTTACACTTATCAAGCTAGAAAAAAAATATGATTTATATGTGCCTAATTCTTATAACATGCTTAAAGCTTAAAATTATAATGAATAAAATACAGATTAATTGTAAAAAGGTATTAAAACAAGAGATAACGTTTAAATAAACCTAAGTTTGTTCAAAATAGGCCTTTTCCACAAATCTACACTAAAATGATTAATGTTCTGTTTTTTTTTTTAAATATGTTTTTTTAAATATGTATTTTTTAAATATGCATTTTTTTAAATATGTATTTTTTAAATATGTATTTTTTATATGTTTTTTTTTTAAATATGTATTTTTTAAATATGTATGTATTTTTTTAAATATGTATTTTTTTAATATGTATTTTTTTAATATGTATTTTTTTAATATGTATTTTTTAAATATGTATTTTTTTAATATGTTTTTTAAATATGTATTTTTTAATATGTATTTTTTTAATATGTATTTTTCAAATATGTATTTTTTAAATATGTATTTTTTTAATATGTATTTTTCTAAATATGTATTTTTTAGATATGTATTTTTTAATATTTTTTTACATATGTATTTTTTAAATATATATATTTTTAAATATGTATTTTTTTTAAATATGTATTTTTTTTTAAATATGTATTTTTTAAATATGTATTTTTTAAAAAATTTTTTTAGATATGTATTTTTTAAATTTTTTTTTAGACATGTATTTTTTTAAATATGTTTTTTTTTAAATATGAATTTTTTTAAATATGAATTTTTTTAAATATGTATTTTTTTAAATATGTATTTTTTTATTCTCAGGTGACATTTCTCCAGGGGAACTTGAAAGCCTTGTCAGTAAGTTTCACTTATCATATAGATATATATATATATCATCACCCTTGAGTAATTTTCATATTTGATAAATTTCACGGTACACCTGTGTCAGCGTAATATTTGATACTTGTGATTTCTACTAACGGGTTAAATATATTGAAACTTGTCATCAATAAGTTTCCAGAAAAAAAATGGTGTACGTATTATTTTATGTATTTATTTCAAATTCGTTATATGTAGAAAACTCCATATACTATTTAATAATCAGGTCTGATCCCGTATAACAGGTGAGTGATTGTGGTAGGCAACTTTAAAACCGCCCTTCATAACTAACTGTATACATAATTAAGCACATTATCTGCATTGCAATTAAATATTGCCATATATTATGACTGCACTTGTTTTGCAGTCACAGTAAAAAGATTTATGTGTTTGTTGATATTGTTATTGACACATTATAATATGTTTATTATTTGACACTAGTTTGTGTTATTTGTTAGTCTTTTGCGTTAATTCTATATATATGCTATATTACTCCCGTAAACCGACATTTATTAGCTAAAGCCATGTGTGACACCTATACTTAAAAATCACTTAGAACCTTTTTTTGGAAACGTTGCGGTCCGATCATTAATTGATCTTGTAATAAAATGTAGATTTTATCTTCGGTTCATAATAATTAAATGTTATAATTATGTTTCTTATAGTCCATGTATGACATTTATGACAACGTCCCAAAATAATTCAAGCTTCGTGCATAATATTTGACTGCCCATTATTTATGTGTTTTTTTGTGAATTTTAAAATATGACACGTGAAGTGTTGTGTTATTTCCGTGTTATATACACACATAGTTAGCTTGGTCTATTTATATCTTTAGAAGCACGTGGTCGACAAACCTATATTTTTACTGATCGTTTTCTTTAAAATTCTTATCTCTTATTTGTAGCATATAAAGCATGGGAAATATTGCAATACAATGCAAGTTACAAGTAATTTTTCAAGAAACATGTACATTTCAGTGATAAAGAAAAAAATGCTTGTGATCAAAATCCACTTAGGTCCAAAAACCAAAAAACAATAAATTTGGATTTCTTACATAAATCAATTGGGACACTAAAACAGACAAACAGACAAATATGAAAAAGACAATTAAGAAATATACTCAGAAATAAGTTGAAAGAAACGTATTTTTATGCTATTCCTGGTTCGATATTAGTGAAAAGCGTTGCAACGCTTTTCATTTTTAGGCCATTTTTCACAGTTAAGATGATTATTCTGGAAAACCAAAGTGAGCGAATAATCTGATATAAAAGATAATACAATTTATATTTAAGGCTTTTTGACCTCAGTGGAGTCCCTTTAAGTTGATCGTTATTTAGCTTCACTGAAAGGAACTCCACTTGGAACTCCACTATGGTCCAAAAGCGTAAAAACATAAAATTGTATTTTTGTCTTTTACAGATAAACTGAGGTACTTATAACATGACGATATAAACTATATAACAAAGAAGTTTAATCATAAGTGCATTAATCTTCGTATTGTTGTGCTATTCTTCACTCGATTGGGATGAAAAGCTTTGCAACGCTTTTTATTTTTGGTCATTTTTCACAATTAGAATAGTTTTTTTCTGGAAAAAACAAAGAGAGCGAATGACCTGAGATTTTGCACTAAAGTTTATTATTAGTCTAGACCTACATCAATGGAACATTAATCTCGAAAATTATGTCCAGTCCCTTTAATATGTAAAAAGAAATTCAGTGGAGTCCCTTTAAGTAATTATGAACATAATTATATTTGACTGACACCACTGTCTTTTAAAATTGAAAAAGAACAACAACAAAAAACGATTGGAATAATATAAGATACATGTATATACATATACAAAATTCAACGTAATGGCAACAGATCCACGTTACTCGAATTCCGTTTCTCTCGAAGTAAAATGCCCAGTCCCTTTGATTTCGATTTACCGAGAGTCAATTGTATATACTAATACTTTCATTATTTTTTTAAACAGATATAATCAAAGCTAAAGCTACTGGAGGCCCTGCTCCACCTCCAAAAGCTGAACGTCCACCACCACCGGTACAACCAGCACCACAACCACAACCACCTCCCCAACCTCAACCAACCCAGTACGAGCAACCACCACCCCAGTACGAGCAGATACCACCCCAGTATGAGCAGCCACAATCTCAATATGAACCTCAAAGACGACAACAACAACAGGGTTATATCCCACCACCTCCAGGTACGTCATTACAATAACAAAACGTTTTTAGTGGATGTTTGGTATATTTTGCATGCAGTATGACTAAGTTATTGATATGTAATCATTGTGCAGTTAAATTCGGATATGACAATATTCGGATACGTTTTGCTCACTTCTTACAAATATGATGTAAGAAAATAAGATCTGTATTTGAAAATAAAAGTCAAGAATGTGAGCAATTGTTCTTGTTTGTTATATTTTAGTTTAACTGTACTCTTAATAACCTTATGCAAGTTCTGTCATTATTAAAATCTTGCCAAATTTGGTATAGTCGCACTATTGTATACAAATGACACTTCCAACTAGTATGTTGTTGCACACAAAGATACAATTTTTCACTTCACACTTTGGTATTTTTGTACAAAAAGATACAAATTACACTGTCAACGTTGATGTTGATGCAGACAAAAAGATGCAACTTACACTGCCAGTTTGGTATAATTGCACAAAAAGATAAACTTTTACACTGCCTGTTTTGAAGTAATTGCACCGACACAAATAACACTTTAATAATTGTTGTTACACTATCAGCTTTTGTGTTTTTGCACAAATACAATTTATTCTGCCAAATTTGATGTTTTCGCACAAATACAAATCTCACTGCCAAATTTGATGTTTTTTACGCACGAAAACAATTCACACTGCCAAATTTGATCTTTTTGCACAAATACAAATTACACTGCCAAATTTGATGTTTTCGCACAAATACAGTTTACACTGCCAAATTTGATGTTTTCGCACAAATACAAATTACACTGCCAAATTTGATGTTTTCGCACAAACACAAATTACACTGCTAAATTTGATGTTTTTTCGCACAAATACAAATTACACTTCCAAATTTGATGTTTTCGCACAAGTACAAATTACACTGCCAAATTTGATGTTTTCTTGTCGCTAACATAAACAAATCTACCTCAGTAGTTGTTGTTTTTAGTACAATGTAGTTGTTGTTGTTCAAAGGTTATTTTACGCGGGAGTTTGATTTTCGCTTTTCGTTCACCACGTTATGTTATAGATGTATAAACACTTAGAGCATGTGTAGAATGGGACATGTGTAATGGAATAACAAACAATTCCAATACTAACAGAAATATATCTGCAAAAAAGGTAACATGGTTTTAATTTACTCTATCTTAAAAGCTTCCAATAGTTTATTTTTTACAAACAGTAACAAAATCTTCGCGAAAATTAAACTCGCGTGATTATTTTTAGATTTTAGATCATCTTGTATGCTTTGTTTAAATTTTCGTTTTCTTTTCTGTTTTTAATTGAATTTTAATTTGTTTTTTTAAAACAAGGTTCTCCAAATATGGGCCCATCCCGAGAGATGAGGAATGGCCCACCCCCACCAAACAGAGGCCCTTACAGGGGACCACCTCCACCCGGGCGGAGGGGACCAAATGGCCCACCAATGGGTAACAATCAAAACAACCAGATGAATCCATGGGCACAAAATGGACCGCAAATGGGAGGGCCACAAATGGGTATGCTGAATTATCAATTTTGATGAAAAAAAAATAACAAGATATGTTAAGCAAACGAAAAGTAACCAATTATTTTATATTGTGACCAATGCATTATGTTATTGATAAATAAACAATGTAATTAGAATACGATATAAATACACTTAAGACATCATGGTCTTCATAACAATATAGCTAGAAACCTCTCAGTTCATGTTTTGTCTTGAAGTGTTTAAGTCAAGTGAATCAATAAAGTACTTTATACGCTACATGGGGCGATCTACGCAATCGACCGAAAAGTGCGTTCTTCCATCACAGCGTATAAACGTGTCTATTTCCGGTTAGCATAAAAAGGTACACATTGGAATTCCAAAAAATGATACAGTGACCGGAAGTAACAGGTGCTTGCATCAGAATAGGGCTTGTGCTCTGACGAGACTTGTTTTAGAATGAACATTTTTTAAATCTTGAATGTTCTGTTTCAGGAGGACCAATGGGCGGGCCAATGGGAGGACCTATGGGCGGACCAATGGGAGGACCTATGGGCGGGCCAATGGGAGGACCTATGGGCGGACAGAGAGGTGGACCTGGCGGCCTTGATCCTAATAATCCTCAAGTTGCAAGACTTATCCGAGGTTAGTACTTATGTACTTAATGACGTCACGTTGAATTATTATTTGGCGCGCTTTTCATTCAGTATTAGTTTTATTGTATTTTTAAAACGTTTCTTTCCATATAATTAAAAGAAAATTTGTTAAGTTTTGTGTGAGATTGAAATATATTTCACCTTGTGAACACCAAAAATTCATATTTGACTCTACTTTTATGTAATTCGTCTTATGTCTAGTTTGCCCCTTATTTAAAGTCTGTAATTGTACCTCACTCTGTTTTTATAACATATTCTTATGTCCATGAGCAATTATATATTCAAATAGTTAATGATTACACTAATGCTCGATTATTAATTGTAAAATTATCATAAATAAATGCTTTACATATACGATATAAACTTATTCAAACAAAGAAACGCACGAGATTTGAATTCTGTCACGTTATATCGCGTGACATCACGTGATTTTCAAGCATTCATTAGTCAGCGGTAATAATGGATTGTTTTGGTTCCAGTTATAAATTGAATGTATGCTAATATCGAACTATATAATGTTTGTAGTGTTAATTTGTTTTGAAAAATGCCATATTGTATTCTTGCCTTGAATGAACCGGTACTGTTGAAATAGTTTGGGAACTTGCAGGCGTTTCTTACAATGGATTAGATATGGGCATAATTTTTCAGCAATTAACTGTTTGGTAAAATGATACCGTACATCTGATAAGTTACATAAACAAAGGGGAAATCACTCATTCCATAAGTTAACCGTTGTATTTAATAGCAGAGGTACTTTTACAATATCAAGTTGAAATCTTTAAATGAAATCATTAAACTTTAGTAAAAATATTCTTTATTAAAAAAAAACACAATATTTCTTTTAATGATTTACGATTAATGAACTATTAAATTCTTATATAATTTGTATAAGTTACAAAGAAACAAGTTATTTTTTGTTAAACCTTTTTTTTTTTATAAGTTACCAAAAATAAAGCTTTTCATGCCGGCCGTTTTCCCAAACAAATAAACAACACACAAAATTCATTCTAGGGCATTTAAGCTATTATATTATTGGCCCCGTTTCTCTCTTACTGCGGTAAATCATGCTGCTCTAAAATTCGTATAATTTCGGAAAACTTCGTCATTTTCCGTAACTAAAATTTATTAAGTTGATACGGTTATTGTTGTTATTGCTCATTTTGGTTTTTTATTAGTCACGGAAAGAAGCGACATTTACCATAATTTCCCGAGCTTATTATAGACACATATATTATTATATTACCTTTATATTTCCTCATACTTACAGTGATTTCAAAGCGAATCCCGGACAGTAAGAAAAACAACTCAATATTTCATGTTTTTACTTTTTTTCTGCTTGATTAACCCTTTACTTTTTTACATGCCAAGTTCTGCAGAATGCCGAATTCTGCAGAATTGGGACTGCCTCCGTGGTCGAGGGGTTAGAGTCGATGACTTCTAATCCAGTTACCTCTCTGGCGTGGGTTCGATCCCCGGGAGATGCTTTGGTAGTTTAGCGCGGAGGAAGGTAGTCTAGTACTGGTGTAACTCTCCAGGAACGATGGTTAGGAAACTACCCGCCTATATGAATGAAATAATGTTGGGAAAAAGGCGTAAAATGAAACAAACAATCAAATCTGCAGATTTTTGCCTCCTTGAAATCCAGGCTGTGTTTCTAGGGTTACCGGCCTCGTTGTTGTTATTACGATATTGCCGTTTTATTTAAAGCTGACGATTTGTAATTTTACTAATGCTTTTTAAAAGAAACTTAAACAAACTGAACTATTAAAAACTAATGCTTATCAATAACATAGCATTTATTTGTGGGTTAAAATGTATATTTGTTAACTTAACATAGCAGGACGTAGATTTTACTATATCATTTTATCATTTTTATTTTATTACATGAGAGTTTCTAGTTATAATTGATACATGATGTCCTTAGCTTAACGATATAAAAGGTGAAATTTTCAGCCTATGGTATTCATGTACAGTAATCAAGTAACAATCGTTTTGTTGTTGTTGTTCTGTTGAAGATAATGATGACAATTATGATGATGATGACGATTTTTGGGCGGTTATTTATAGGGAAACTACCGTCTACTTACAAAATATATTCGGAACACTCCGACACTCTCCGTTTATATGTCAAACAATGATGTAAATTGAGTTATTTCATATCTAGCTCATTATATTATAATGTATAACAAACGGGAAGTGGCGGCAAATGCCGGATATTCATTTCACAAACTTGTTGATTTCCTAATAGGAAGTTGTTCCAGTATTGAATATTTGTTTCAAACAGTTAACTGTCTTTGTGATTCATAGCCTCATTTCCATATTGTATTCATGACGTCAGCATTGAGAATGTCTTTTTTAAATTAGAAAAAAAAATGCGCGCGTAAGTTTAACATATTTAACACAAGTTACAATACAAGTAATTAAAGTGCTAATTCAGTACATAATACTATAAATTTACATATCTTAACCTTGACTTTGCATGACAAGTTTACTGTTAAAGCACATAGATGTATGTACAGGAGGTCTAATTATGCAACAAATTTGAATATTAATAGACATGAAACCGCACGTGCTGCGTCACGGATTCGAACTTGTTAACATAATGACCGTGACACCCCGTCAATGCTTACCTCCCTTATTTTATTTGTGTATGCCAATGAAGCCGATATGTCGTATTTTTTTGTTGAATATTAATCGTTACATTTTCAGACCAACACGCACCTGGTTCGGCCAGTAACAGTAATAAACCACATAGAATTACAGAATTTTTGTCTGATAAAGTTCATCCGGCAAACCACAACCTTCAATAACCCATTGTTCCGCGTGATAAAATAATTCTAGCCACATTGTTCAATGAGCGTGTCCTTATCTCCATAAGACAGTTCTCGTTTAATGATATATTCTTTTATTTCCTCCAAAATTTGACAAGCATAACATATATACATACCAATATACAAATATTTACATGAAATGATAAAACACAAAACCTATTATGAAACACAGCATTAATAACAAGTGAAGAGAGGCAATTTCCTTAAGACTTCACATGTCGAAAAAGAAGTTCACAGGATTAAAAATTATGGAAACTTCAATCTTTAATATACAACAGGAGTTTTATTTGCAGTCAAATTTTCTAATATATCGAATGAGCGTGTTTCTTATATTGCCTTATATTACAACATTGCCTTAGATAATTAAAGCCTTTATTTGCTTTATTGTACCGACCAGAAGAATTAGCACACTAGGTGGCGTCTGACTTGTGATCCAGGGGGGCGCGTGTTCGTTTCTCGCGCGACAATTCGGCGAGACAATTGACCTCGGACATTTGTCTCTCACGGCTGATTACTGTTACTTGTAAAAGATTTGGTTACTACTGCTTAGTTATCCAGGAGGGCCAAACAAAATGTTTTTTTTTAAATGAAATATAATAAAAAAATAATGAAACAAATCACCAACTAGAAAAAAATGTGTTACATGTAAGAATATGGACATTAAAATTTTATTACGGAAAGAAAATTTAATTTTCAAATAGTTTAAAACATTGTAGTAAAGAAATACTATATTAAAAATTTGTTTTTGCCAACCGCTGGTGTTATAATAAGTGATATTCAAAACAAAAATCCAGCATATCTCCTTTTTTTTACTTAAAGACATGGACGCAAAAATATAGACGCATTTTAATATGTCTGAACAGGAATTAATAAAAGAGATTTACTCCGGTCAAAATGGTTAAATTTCACTCACATAGCTGTATAAAATTTTCTATATGCTGTTTTTATGTGCATTTACATATGACTAAAGTGTTACTTTGAAAAAACAAAATGGTTAATGTATTCGAGACTGATTTAAAGTATTAACGGGTGTTGTCGGACGAACTTTATCAAGTATGCTTATCTGCTGTGATACGAAATCACAAATTAGAAAACACTTATCAACAAAACGTGCTGTGCAACCATTTTCTAGCACGTGGAATTACCTGTCAGCACGTAGAACCATTCGCTTGCACGTTAAATCACCTGTCAGCACGTGCAAACAGCTTGCTAGCACGAGTAACCACATTCCAGCACGTGCAGTCACCCGCAAGCACGTGTTATCACTTGGAATTGCACTTGCCCAGAGTCTCAAATGATTTCAGATCACACAACTTTGGTGGAAAATATACACAGTCTATATTTTTAAAGGTGCATGCCTCCAGATGAGTTTACACTTGATAAAAAAAATCAGTGATAAGAAACATATATTAAGAGCTGAAAGACATGTATACAAATATTCACAATGCAAATTGACACATTGCACTTCTTACAAGATTTTGTTGTTATTCTTGTTGTTATTATAGTATTACATTTCGCACCAACACAGTATAGGCTACATGTCGACTTTCCAACTTTGCTGACGGAAGGAAGACTTCAGTTGTCCTTTTTGTGCGTCATGATATACTTTTCAAGTAAAAAAAATGTTTATTATTTAAAAAAAATCTGGAGACGTGCTGCTTTAATAATATGACGGGTATATGAGACTTTAATGTAATGGAGACACTTTTACACACAAAGAATTTCTCCCTCACACACAATTGCATTTCATGTTCGCTATGAGTCGTAAAGATTTGTTGTTGTTGTTGTTGTTGAGGTTGGAAAGATCTGTCCTTTTCAAATACATATACTTGTGAGATGTAATAATATGGATTAATATGAATTTGAAATTGTTCTTACCTTTTTCACCGCTTTTCATTAATATTAAACGTATACCACGCATATTAGATTATATTTAAATAGACTTCGTAATTATCACCGCTGTTGTTTTTTACTCCCCAGAAACGGAAATTGCCTTGACCTCCCTTTCACAACACTCACTAATCAGGTTTCTTTTCGTTGAATTAAAAATAAAATAAGTTAGAGACCGCATATTAAATCTATTTTCTAACCTTATTAATAAGATTGTTATCGGGATTTAAGTTTAAAATTTGTTCCTGATTTTTAATAGTTTATTAGCATATGATCTATAGACGGCAGAAGGAGGATAGTATCAAGGCATCGACTTTAAATTGATAAATGTTCTGTCTTTGTTGAAATTATTGAAAGTTGACGCAATTATAGTACATATATATAATACACATATAATGACAGCAACATTTTGTTCTATTTTTATTTCACAATAAAACACAAAGAAGAATTTTGTTAGTAATTCAAAGTCGAAGTCCGTTATCATCCTCCTGTATGACGTCACAGACTGAAGGCAAGACACCACTATATTTATGCCAGGAAAGATTTAGTTGCTTGTGTCGGGGAGTGATTAATACCGCTGCTTTGTACAAACTCGCAATTTATATAATTAATATTTCAATCTCTAATCACGTAAAATTACCGTATTTAAATGTATTAATTTATTTAAACAGTGAAATTTGAATATAGAAATATTGATTATTTGTAAACTCATCCAAAACTACGTAATTATCTTGTATATCCAAATTGTTTTTTTTTTTATTGTTTTTTAATTTTTTTTTAAAATTTTATTTTTATATGTTTTCTTTCGTTGCCATTTTCAAGTTATTTTTAACTTGAAACTGGACCTTAGTAAAAATAGTAAAATTTAGTATACTCCGCTTGTTATAGTGTTGGCAGGACGTACAGGTGGTCACAGGAACCCGGTAACCGGCGAGGCTCCCGAGGCTGGCGAAGGCGGAGGTACTATTTTTTGTTTTGTTCATATTTTTGAACTCTTAACCTTCTTAATTTGTTGAATAGTTTTTGCTCTGCTTGGAACAATATATTTGCATTTTAAAAATAAAATGAAATTGTTTCAACACTGATATACCACCAGGATTATAGTTTTTGCTCTGCTTGGATTTGAATTTTTAGAATAATCATTGAAATTGTACCAAACCGGAACTACCACCAGGATTGAACCTTGTCAGACTGCACGGGCTTGCTGGACCCTTTACCGGGTGGCAAAGACTAATAACGTTCGGTTCCAACAATAAAGTATCATTGTATGTCGATAAACCTACATTCGGACTTGTATATAACCGAATAACACATTGGAACGAAATATAATTAATACCTAATGCATTAGACGTGGGATAAAACTAGTCTTGTTTACTTGTTGTGTTGTATTTCTGAAGAATTTATACATTTCGGGACATGTAAAGCTTCGTTGATTGGGGCTGACATTTAGATAAAGTAGTCTTGTAAGAGATCTGTGATAACCCTTCATGTATTTCTTCTGTTGCAGCAGGCATGAACCCCATGATGATGGGTATGATTTTAACTTATTTTATCTTATCTTATCTTATTTTATCTTATCTAATTTTATTATTAATATTTAATTTTAATTATTTTCTACGTCAATCTTTAAGTCAGTGACCGTTTGACCAAGTTAACACATATTTAGTTTAAATAAGATTCCATATTTATAAATATTGCATACATTTACAAGTTACATTACAATTTAGGAGCCACGTGACCACATATCTATTTTTAGCTATTGTTGATTGTTTCTTAAAAGCAGCGCACCTGTCAAGCATATTTTTTAAAATTTAAAATATTGTCAAGCGAACATAAATAAGTGATTCAAAACATTATCATCAAAACAAAGTACACAAATTATTTAAAAGTGTAAACATTAGCAGTCAAAGTCCTTTCCGCAGAAATAACAGAGACATGGATAATTATCTATGTTATCCATGTCTCTGGTAATAACGTGGTAAATTTATGACGATAAAAAATACAAATTTAAGTCATATTTTTGTATTTATAAAAAAATGTGATGTATTAAATGTTGCGTAAATGTTTACTTAAGATTAGTATTTCTAAAGCTTGACTTTTTTAAAAACGTTTTGCAGCTTTAAAGAAACACACGCATTTGCAATATTTTAAAGTTGCATACTCCGGGGCTTTCATAGTCTTTTACAATTAGGTCTTGAAGATATCAAATGAGCGTCTATTTGATCAATATTGATAAATGATCATGATCAATAAACGCTCTTAAAATAAACAGGAATATCACGAGGTACGCCGAATGTATATAAGTAAATGAGCGTCTATTTGATCAATATTGATAGATGATCGTGATCATTGGGCGCTCTTAAAGTAAACATTTTCACGAGGTATGCCGAATGTATTACAAGTTTTTGATGGGTGGAGAGTGTTTAATTTTCTATTTTCTGTTTTTATTTAACAAGCTATGATGATGAACGGTCAAGGAGGCGGTGGCGGCGCAGGAGGTGCTGATCTCAGTGCACTTCTCGGTGGAATGGGCGGAGGTTAGTTGTATAATGCTTGACAACTATTTTCTTTGTTTTATATATATATTATATATATTTATATTAATTCAAAATGCTTCATAATGTTTCAACAGTCGTCAGTCACGATTATCCAATGAAAGAAGACGTTACAGAAGTGCAATATGAATATAAAAAAATAGCTGTACATATTGTTTAAAAATTATATTATCCAAATATATATACATTATATTGTAATTAAATACAATAAATAAAAGAGGACTATTTAACTTTAACACAAACTATCTTGGGCATAAATAAATAGTAGTCGTGGCATAAATAACGTCCAAACAGTACGTGCAGGGTGAAGTGACGTCAGATTGACTTTTACGTCATTACATAGCGTTCACAAGTTACAAACGCAATAAAACTAACCTTGAAGACAGTGGTGCTATTTTTCTCTTATTAGAAAAGACAGATATTATTAAAAATTTTGTATATCTTATTGCTCAACAAAATATTAATTTTGACATGAAAAACAAAAACTTAGACTAAATATTTATTATTATTCATATACAATAGGTGGCGGAGGCGGGGGTATGTATATATTTTTACCAAGTTTTTACCAAATAATATGTTATATAATTAAGATAGACCACTCCTAATGGACACTAAAAGGAACTGTAAAACTGACAACATAGCACAGTTATATGCCTTAAAGGTCACCTACATGCAAATTTAAAAAAAATACAATGTGGTTTATGAGTTATGGACATTTTTCTGAACTAAAACTTTGCTTTCAGACGGGCTTTTTTCAGAAATGAGGAAACTCTAAATAATCTATAATATCATCGTTATGAAAAATGTTTTCCTATTGCTCATTGTTAAGAAACAAATAATTGCATTTAGGTAAGAAAAATTACACGAGCAAAATGATTGTTTCTAAACAAAATGATTTTAATATGTATAAACATGTTACCATACTTTAAACACTTATTTGACCATTTCCCTATATAAAAAGCCTTATTCAAAATATCCCTCAAACTCAACACAATGAGCGGCTGTTTTCAAAGTTTGCCTCAATTTTCTAAAAAGTATATTTGTTGATCTTGCAAAATATAAAATACTTTTATCGTGTAGTTTTTATTTTATCAAACTTTGAAAATATCTTGTATCATATTTGCTGTTAAATTTGGCATTGTTTAGCAAATAAATACCTACAATAATTATATAATTAAAACCAAACACTTTTTTTTCCATAAGGGATCTGAGAGATATTAATAATGTAAGAAAGAAAAGAAAGATCCTTCTGGGGTTTGAACCCACCCTCTCAAATTCTAGCTTATTTTAATACTCTTAAAAGTGGAGATAATTTGAGTTAAAACATGTATTTTAGCGTGAGTTTTTACCAATACTGAGTCAAGTAATGATGTAGATAAACACATTGGTGGTGATCCGAACTGGAACCTGCTATTGACAGACACCTTAACAACTTGGCCATTTCTTATTCCTGGAATCTACTTACCTTCTATTCAGTTATCTATCTCTAATTGTATTGTTTTATCGAAAAAAAATTTCACAATATCTAATAATCTTGAAGGACTTCGGTCATAAGACAAATTCATCTTTTACAACAACATTTTGTTTCTTGTACTCAAAACCATGTTACCCAGCTTTAGGCAGTTTGTACCATTCCCTATTCTAATATTCGTGTCAAATTACATTGCTTTATCGAATTAAATTTCAAAATATCTAATAATCTTGTAGAATTTCGGCCATATTCTTATTTCACAATCCCATTTTGTTTCTTGTATTCAAAAACGTTTTTCCATGTTACACACAGCTTTAGCCAGTTTGTTGGGAGGTTCAGGCGGAGCAGGGGGTATGGGCGGTCTAGCGGCCCTTGGAGCTCTCGGAGGCGGCGGTGGCGGCGGCGGCGGAGGTGGTACGTCATATGTTTTCTTATTGTTGCTCTCGTATTTTTTCGTCATAATTTTCTAGGTTTAGTTTTTAAACACTCAAATTTTTTTTTTGGATAAGCTTTGATTTACTTTGAAACGTGGAAGCATGTAATTTTTATGAAATTTATTTTCTCTTCGTTAAGCAAAAACTGAATTTGAATATTAGAAGTAAATCAGTGGCGGTCTATAATTAACATGCATGTATTTGTTGTTAAATATTAACCTAAGTCCTAACTAATGATATACTGTTTACTTATATATACATGACTATATGTTAACTTGGTTATATATATAAAAACCAATATATGCCACAACAAACTGTGTCTTAAACTGCATGTATATTAATAGCATGTTATATAATATATTTTATATTTTAACAAAACAAAATCGTGAAAACATGCATCATGACCTTGAACGATCGTTTTCCTTCAAAATACCTTTTAAGATTGATCTCGTGATATCACCTTTAAAATGTATCACGTGATATTCCTTTAAAATTTATCATGTGATATTCCATTAAAATATATCACGTGGTATTCCATTTAAATTGATCATGTGATATTCTTTTAAAAATATATCACGTGATATCCTTTTAAAATTGATCAAGTGATATCCCTTCCAACTTTATCACGTGAAACCGTTCAAAATGGATCACGTGACATCGCTTCAAAATTCACCACGTGACAATCCCTTCAAAATTGATCATGTGTCATATCCTAAGTCCATGACGAAATTCAATCTCTCGCATAAATTATATTTTTGCCGCATAATTTCTCCCGCATAACTCGAATGAATTATGGATCGTAGACACATTGATTATTTTGAATCTAATTGTCCAGGCAGAGTTTATTTTCATGAGGAAACAAATCGCCAAATTGGACACATTCAGATATTACACCGATCAACAGCAATTACTTTATATTTTATGAATCATATATAAATAAATTAAGTACTTAAATTGACGATTTAGCTAATTGACTCTAGTTTAATTGATGCCTTCGTTAAGCTTTTGAAATGTATTTCATTAAACTGTTGCTAATGTCCCTAGCTTAACACCAAAGAAACGCACATTATATTTGCACAACTTTTTCGTTTCTCTAATATCACACGCATCTGCAAAGGTGAAGAACGGGAATAATTGCTACAGCTTCCTACTTACTTCCCTTACAACCGTGACAATTTCATCACGCCATTTACAGGAGCAAAGAATAAGTGGAAGATAACTGCGTGTAGATTGCACAGCTTCTTAATAGTTACTATAAATAGAAATTCTGAATAGTTACTATAAATAGAAATTCTGAATAGTTACTATAAATAGAAATTATGAACGTGCGTTATTGTCATTTCCGCTGTGTACCTTTAACTCTTTCAGCGCTTAATAATATTAAATTAACTCGCCCATGTTTCCAACAGGACAAAGTTATTCATAAATAGCGTACAGTGCAGATCATGTTTGAAGGGCACAGCTGCCAGGGCTGATCTTGGTCTGCACTTGTCGCATGCTGGGGGGTTTAACACAGCTTTGTTTATAATCTTCAAATTTTTTTATTGAAATATAACAGATATATCTTGTTTCACCATCATCTAATTCACGTACTATAGATTAAAACTTTTAGACTTATGTCATAATTTTACTTCCTTATAAAGGAAACAGTCAGTTGGACATGCTGACAAAAGCTTTACAAGGGCCCACGGCACCTTTGATGGCACTAGGAGGGGGCGAAGGCGCTCAAGCCGGTGGTACGAGTTCAATTCTTTATAGTTTTTTTATTTGTATGGACGCATTATAAGTCTTTGGTTTTGGGAATCTGTTTCATTTTTTTCTTTGCTGTGTGTACTGTATTTAATCTTTGACAATTGTTACCAATATTTTTGTTTCATACGTAACAAAAATGGTTAAATAAAACGAGTTCATTAACTTTCTTCAAAGCTTGTTCAAATGATGTTCATGGTTATTTACCCAGTATCATTTCGTCAATCATACCTTAATCTGTTTGTTTTTCCTGCTGAATTTTATACTAGTCAACTTTTATTGTTGACGCTTTTGCACATTTCTGATAAACTTTGAAAAATATTTATTTACACCCCTGGCTTTTTAATGTTAAACAAATCTTACATTTGTTGTCATACCGTATATATACTAAAATTATACTCGCCTAGGAAATGGTAAAAATCTTGTAACATGGTAGTTTTATAATACGTTACCTAGGTGTTATGCATATATATAAATCAAAGTAGTAAAAGTATATACATATATATGTAATATACATGTATATGTGGGACAATAAACGCGAGAGGCAAACTGAGGTAGTACAAGTAACAATATTAGGTGATAATAGTGCTGGAATAGTTGGGTAATTATGGTATTTAATACACTTGTTACTATATATAGTAACAAAATTGCCTATGATTTCAACTGATTATGAGTTTGCGGCCCGGGGCCGAGAACTAGTTATCAGCCCGCAGAACATGTGCACGTGCACAAACTGAAACAATGACGTCATATTTTACGTCATCAAACAGTTAACTGTAAAAGTGAAAGTAGGTTGTCAGCACGAATCGCTTACATGAGAGCTTAAGCGTATTTAGTACAAACACAATTTTGTTACTATTGAAATTTGAAGAAATAATACGACAAATTCATTCCGAAAAAATATGAAAATAAAACTTGCTTCTACATTCTACTGCTTTGAACACACAAACAGTAAACGTCTGTGTACAGAAAAGTAGAAGAGTAGACAAGAATTTCAACGAAAGAACTTCAAATTTGTTGGGTTTTTTTGGGGTTTTTTTTAAATGCTACTATTAGATCTACCAAGTGTATTAAAGACATTAATACACGTCAGAGTAGGGCCGGAAGGTGATAATCGGCCCTGAATGAATAATGGCCCTCGGGCTAAAGCCCTCGGGTCCATTATTCATTTTGTGGGTCGATTATCACCTTCCGGCCCTCTCCTGCCGTGTATTAACCTCTTAATAATATAAATAGATATGATAGAAGACTCCGGGATAAAGGCAGACTTGTTGAGGCAATAAAATAGATGATATATGAATATTTCTTGCATATCTGTCAGGATCCGGGGACAGGGGACATAAGAATGAGCAAATTTGAAATTCAATAGGGCCGAAAACACAATTCCAAATATTTCAAAAGATTTTACACAGAAAGATTACCAGTTCTATGGCACAGCATTATGCGGCATTATATATGTCATACATTAAAGAATATAACAGCTTGTGTGTATTGCTCCTTTACATAAAGACTGACAGCTACTTTTATTTAACCCCACCCACTTTTATTTAACCACACCCACTAAAAATCACACATGAAATATTAGATACTATGTGCCATCTTCAGGAGGTTGCACGATATTCCAAAATTCGCCCGATTCCTTTAAAAATATCACTTACACATATTGCAATCAGATCCAATTTCAAAAATGCCTAGTTAACTGTCAGTCATTCATTTATATATATCTTTTACAAAATTTATCCAATGTTTCTTATTTTGAGTCACAATACACACGAAGCTACGAAAATGTTTAGTTTCGGGTAAATACCCAAAGATGCTGATCATTCCTGCACACAAACAAGAAAGAAATACTATTTACAGAGAAATATCAGAAGTTTCCAGTGCCTTCAAAACACCATATATGTTACATGTATTGAAAAGTTTGATTATGTCCCCTGTTCCCTTATTTGCTGTTTTCACCGGTTCTAAAATGACGTCATTCCCACGTGCCTTAATGAATGAACTATGGTCTTAGGATGACGTCATTAAAAGAGCTAAATGAAAGTTTAAGCATTTTCTTTTCGTAATATGATTAATATGTAATATGCGAGAAAAGGACTCAAACACCGGTTGTTGTAACAGATCGGAATATCTAGCTCCCGGGTAACTGTTTATCGGACAATCGTAGGGCCTCGTTACCGCCGTAAACAGTTACACTCGCGCTAGATATTCCGGTTTGTACCGGCAGCCGGTTTAAGATCCATTGTAGTACACTATCTTTGGTCAAAATTGAATAGATGAATTATATTAAAATAAGTACAATTTTTATCAACTGCGACAACATAGTACGAATTTTTTTATGAAAAAATTGCAACCGACTTTATGTTTCTGCAACTTCCTCTCATGTACTCAAATGGTTGACAGTTATGCATTTTTGTGAATTTCCGGAAAAAGAATAGATAATTTAAAACAGACAGCCAATATCTTAGCCTATAAATTATTAAATTGCTATATTGTGGCATTTGTCAAAACACTTCAACCTTATATTTAATTGTTTACATGTATACGTGTGACATTTAAATGAGCAAAGAATTGGTCAAATTAGGTTTACGTATTTTCACAGTATTTTGCTCGTTTTTTGCACTCATGTTTGCATGTTCACTATGTAACTGTTATACTATGTTATTATATATACAACTGTAATAGGTAACCAGGCCTTGGCAATGCAGTTATTAAATAACGCCATGATGGGCGGCGGTCAAGGTCAATCTTCCGCCGGTGAGGGCGCATCGTCTAATACTGGCATGGCTGGTACTATATTTAGAAATATATATTGCATAATCATTCTATTTTTAGTAACATGATTCTTTTCTTGAACTTTATTAATGTATTCAATAATCGTTCTATTTTAGTAACATATTAAAAGACGAACTAATAACTTTAATTCAAATAATAATATATAAAGATGGTCAGTAAGACTATATTCAAAACTATTTAGGTCATGATCTTTTAAAACTGCATGGTATTAACACTTTCATTCATTTCAACGGGTTCCTTATTTAAATATTAAACCACGCCCAGTTCCCTATTTAAATATTAAACCACGCCCGTTATGAATTATTACGTGTTTATCATTACATGTGTGCACAAAGCACGATTTAATTTAGGTGGAAGTTAAGTTACATTATAAGCTTTTTGCATCATGTGCAATAGTACCGTACATATTCTTATTTTTGCACCGTGTGCATTCTGATTGTTGCATTGTACGCATTCTAATAGCCGCACCATACTCATTTTAATGACTGTTATAACACATACATTTCATATATTTATATGTATTAGAAATGTTAGAATATTTGATTGCCGAATTGGTAATTAATATACACAATTTATCAATTCATTAAAGGCAATCCAATGGCGATGTTACAAGCTCTAGGCGGTGGTTCTTCGGGTGGCGGCGGAGGTAATATAAGATATTTATAGCAACGGTTACTAAGCAACGGTTACTAAGACTTAACCAGTTGATATTATGGCAACCAAGACAACTGATCGGGATGTTTGCATGTGTCCAGCGTGTTCTAAAATTCGTAATTTATGTATAACAACATTTGTACAAATGTACATTCGGCAGTGTCGCAAACAATACGGTGTTTGATTTCTTTAAAATATTTTCAAACATTGTAATGATCCGTATGTCGACACGAAATCATATGTTGTCTTGGAGACTAGAATATTGAGGTTATGAAAGTCTTCTACAGACTCTTGATTATATTGCATAATTTAATTAACATAAACATAGAAGTGAATATATTATTGCATGTGCGCTTAATACCTGCAAATTATGTTGTTTAAAGTTTGATAAAAAGTAGAAGCAGTAAAACACTGACTGGGTGTCTGTGTCTGTGAACGCGGCAGAGCACTCACCTACGCTTAACACAAAGAAAAGAAAGATTTACGCATCAAGTTTCACGCCTTCGTACACAGATATGCATAAATGCTTATAGATAAGATGCAAGTTATTGAAGAAAGAAAATAAATTTCGCTGTATACTAATAGGTTCTCCTTTCGGTACATTTTGTATTAAAATCAGACAGCAGCCTTGTATATCCATTATGTAGCTTAAGGCAATAGCTTTTTACAAATTTCGTCCATAAAGTTTAAAGAATTGTCGGCAAAGGTCATTAATGTTACGGTCTAGAGCACATTGCTACCTCCGTAAATGTCTCACAAACACTTTATGGGTCATAAAATCACTCAAACAAGGCTCTCTCAAACAGAAAACCTCCTCACACTAGATGTCGCATATTGACGCAAGATCACTCAAACGCATGCTGACATCAGGTCGCTCAAACGCACTATGTCATTTGTTTACGCCAAGTCTCTCAGGCGCTTTATATCAAAACGCTCTATGTGTAGCGTGACTCTTTTTAAGCGCGCTATGCGTCACATGATGACGTCAGGCCGCCTGAACGCTCTATGTGATGCATCCAGCGTTCCTTTCACATGTACAAGCTTTTATGAGTTCTAGACAATGGAATTGATAAGCATTGTCAAAATAAACGGTAATTGACTGAGACGATTGTTAAGTTCAATAAATAACGAGGGTAAGTCATGTTTATGTGCGTGGTGGATATGAGGGCTATACGATAACACTTATATATTGAAGGTAATCCACTGGCAATGTTGCAGGCATTTCAAGGCGGACAGGGGGGTTCCGGAGGTTCGGCCGCTGGTAGGTTTAGCTAAACATATAAATAAACATGCAGGACAATCCGTGGGCGAATGGTTTTAATTGGCATTGGCCCTTTGTCAGTTTAGAACCACGAGTTCCGCCCAGCAAGGTCATGTCACGGGGCTATGCATCTAGATACAGGACAAAACTGTGGTTGCATCCTAGGGCCTGCTTGGAAAGGGACTAATGAGAAACGTGCAATGTTTCTTCTGCAATATATTTAAACAGTTTCCGCGTGACCTTAAGAACCTCAAGAAATTGTTAGGACTTTAAATCCATCCAAAAATTGCACATGTATTTATAAAAAAAAACAGGAACTGTACAAAAACGGCTAATATAAAAATGCAAACACATCATTTTCTGCCATTAAACATAAGAATTGGGTGTATTTTATATTGAAATTGAACTATATGCTTCTTCTATTGTTTTATAGAATAATGATATCTTATTTTAATGACACTATCATAAAATCAACTATATAATGACGTCATTCCCACGTGCCTTTTATAAATTAACTATGTTCTTAGGATGACGTCATTATGCAAATATGAATATGGTTGTAAATTCATACTATATACAATGCATGTGTAAAAAAAATCATTATTATTATTATTATCTACTGTTGCAAAACAACGAATTGACACCGTTTCAGAGTAATATTCAATAAGAAATTGTTTCCTGGATAAAGATTATGTTATCTTAAAAGTTAAAAGAGTTAAATACATGTACATTAAAGATTTTATTTACACAAATATTTTCTATAGTTTACTGCTTCTTGAGAGTAAAGCAAGATTTAATTAAAAAGGGGATTTTAAATGTGTACATGTATAATGATTTTGTTTTGAGACGTTTATGAGTTATATCATTGTTACAAGTCCGTTTTAATTGCTAAATCTACTTAAAATAACTTAAAATCTTAAAATGATTTATTCTACTTGATACTTAAGATAATTATTAAAGAACAATATATCAGTAATATATTAAAGAAAATTTTAGGAATTTGCAATCCGGAATATAACTTTCCACTAACATTTTATCAAAGGTTGTTTTTTTAAAAATAACTACAAATATAGGAATTATATCACATATTTATGCTCGAGATAACTCACAAATTAACTTTTATCATATCTTATTAATTAACACTATCAAATACCCAGAATTAATGTCAGTCAATGTTTGAAGTAAAAACCCAACGTGTAGAATATGGTACTTTAAAAGCCCTAGAGTAATATGTTTATTTCACCGTTTGTTTTACAGAAGGTGGCATGGGAGGAATGAACCCTGCTCGTAAGTACATTTTATTTTGTTCTTTGTTATATTTTCGGCCTCTTTGATCAATGTTAGCATCAAATTTTCATAGTACTTATTAAAGAGCCAGATCGAAATACAAAATGTAGTATTTTTTTTAAAACTGTACAATAAACAATTCTACATATTTCAGTTCTTTTTGAATAGAGCTTTATAAAAAGGATTGATTCTATATTTAACCACTCTCAAGATGTAAAATTGTGTTTCGTTGATATAATTCACGTATAATTTATGATACCCTGTCAAAAATGATTTTTGTATCTGTTCTATTTTGTTAATAAATATATCTATATAATTTGACTGATTTTATCACGTGACTAGTAGAGAACAAGCCGAATGTTTTATATCAGATGCATGTTTACTAAAAATTTCTCAATTCCAACATATTACACTTTGTAAGCAAATCTTTTTTTTCCAGATTTAATCATATTCAGATTACTATTATCTCTTTTTATATACAGTAATTTATATATTTTTTTCAAATTTACAAATCCGTTATTTTGAATTCTTAGGTTGTACAATATCTATTAATTAATTTTGATGAAATATATACAGTATATTTTAAAGATTTATTTTTTCTTTACAATTGTTCAAATCAAAGAGCTTTAAAAGTAAGAATATTTAGATCTATATTAAAAAAAAAAAAAAAAAAAACATTTTTAAAATATTTTTGTAGTGATGGCAATGCTCGGAGGTGGCGGAGGTGGTTCCGGTAAGTTTTATATGTTTATATGACGTCATAAATCACGTGATGATATTATTGCGTCACAATTGACATCATGACACGAATATTTCACTTTATATTATTCCACATTCTTCACTTGCAATAAGTATGTTATATATGTATGACATTGCTAAATTTTTTTGCAGTAGTTTATTTTTGTTCACGCATTTCAATCTTGCATTATTACTTTCGCTTAAATTAAATTAGAGCTACTTAATAAGCTATTAATATGTAATTGTTTTAGTAGATTCAAGATATGATACTTTAAATAGTCGTTTTATTGTTGTTTCTTTTTATTATTTTTGATACATCTTTAATGAATGGCCTTTTGTTACTAACATTTTCTTCATGTATTTATTTCTACTAGCTATTTCTATTCTATTTCTCCACTCTTGTTTCTTTGTATAGCCAAGATCTTCTGTAGTAATTGGGAAACTACTTTTATTAACTTTCACTTAAAGTTATCCAATTTATATTGTAGACTTTTAGAATATTAATAATGCATACGTCTTGCGCAGCTTTTTTGATGGACAACTTAATTAACGTTTTGTTTCCTAGGAAATCAAAATATCATGTGAGTGACCGTACTGGTTATAATGTATAGATGTCACGAATACATTGATAAATGGCTGATTATATTGGATCAGATAAAAACCCAATCATCAAAAATCTTATTTCTGATTACCCAAAGTTTTTATTTTGTTTCAACCTCAGAATTTTTAGACTTAACCTTCTGAGCTGCTAAATGTTCGTGTTAAATGGAAATAAAGACTATAACGAAGGACAAGGAATTTGCTACTTGTGTTAGCTATCATTCTGTCACGGTGTTCTACAAAAAAACTGACATTTTTTCTCCTAGTTTACAGATCTGTAAGCAGTGCACACCGTGACAGCATGATAACAAGAAAAGTGCGATGCTTTTATGAATGTTTGTATGTAAACAGAGTAATATCTTCCCGGCTTAGTCACGTGTGTTGTTGAGCAAATAATCTTGCTTTTGTAATATGTTGAAGCTAATAATTGTTTCAAAATCAAATAACGAAAATCTTAACTCTTAAATTTATAACATTTCTTCGTCATGTGGAATAATTACGGAGTTAAAGACAACAAGGGGGCAGGTCGGGACAGTTCGGGGGCAGTTCGGGGTCGTGGGTGGCAGTAGGGAAGTTGTCTGAAATCATTTTGATTATATACTTGTAAATTTTAAAACAAAAAAGGCACATTGCCAAGTCTGAGCTTAAATGGTTTTAGACATAGATCAAATCAAATTATTTGAAATACATTTATTATTTATTAAACAATCAGATTTCAATTAAACAAAAAAAAACAATAGAAAATTTGAACAATTCTACCAAAATAAACGGAAATTGGATATATCGAAACAAGAAGAGCTTTAAACGTTGTTTGTAACGAGTTGTTTAATTGCGCATTTGCTAAACCATCACCAGGGCTTAGTGCGATGGGAAGTCTTGGTGCACTGCTTGGCGGGGGGTCGGGTGGCGCCGGTGCGGCCAGCGGACTTGCAGCGGCCATGATGAACCCAGACGGTCCAGGTGAGACGCCTGATTATTTTTAGATTAGTACAAATAATACTGTCAAACATGTTCGTATAAAAACTAGATAAAAAGAAATGGAAAACAATAAGAACAAATGATACTGTCAAACCTGTCTTAGAAGACAAGTAAAGAAAATTAAACAATAGTCTCTCTGGACAAATAAAAGGTGTTAACAACCTTCCTTGTGGATATGTGTCTGTTTTATTAAAGAAAGGAAGATGTTTGGATAAAGGGTTGACTGTTAGCTAGATATAGATTTTATCTTTCTGAATAAGTTTGAAACAATCATCAAACTATCAAATATGAGCGTGCTGAAATCCACTGCAAAAGCGTAAGTGTCCGTTTATGTGTACGCACTAATAAGGAAAGTTAAAGGTTGTCTTTTACATACATCTAAAAACTCAACGTCAGTGGATCAAGTTACTCAGTTGTACATAAATTATGAATTCTTTAATTGTTATTGTACCACTCAAAATTGACAACAAATTTCGTTGTGTTAATTAAAGTGTACATTACAGAAAGAGATAAAAATAAATACTTTCTTTTTATTTTTTATTAAATTTTAACTTTAATGTTATTATGGCAAAAAAGAAAAAAACATCTTAAACTAGAAGTTGTATAATTAATGCGTTATAAACAAATGATTACAATTTAATAACAATCTCTTTAATACAAAAATCTTTCAGATTTCTTAACATCAGGTCTGTATACATGACTAAAGAATGGCAACAATTTCACCAACATTGTAATAAAATTAAAAAAAAATACAATACTTATAAAATTTTTACAAAAATTGATGTGTGGCATGTATAGTAAATGTCCACGTGTGTTTTAATTAATTAAACATTCATGTGTGTGTTTGTTGCCCAAATCTTTGGTTCAGTTAGTCAGTTTATAGCATGATAAAACATTGTATAAATATGCATCAGTAATTTAGTATATCTTGTATACAAACATACAATACAATCACGTTAATTATTGTTGAAAATTGGCAGATATTTTTAGTGTTGATTTAAAGATCCTGTAACACAATTTTCTTATGGTTTATATCATAAATTGATGCTCAAATGAAGATTTATCAATTTTGTAAATTCCAAAAAGCATTATTTATAAAGATATAACCGAATTTATCATTTTATGTAAATAAAGGGAGGTAGTACAAAAAATATTTTTTTATAAAAATCTGAGTCAAATGTTTCAATAAAATGAATGCATTTATTTAATGATAAGATATGTGTACAAATATTTGCAGTACATTTTTTACAAATTCTTCGATGTTTGAAAATTGTTTTATAAGCATAATTAGATACATATATATAATTTTACTTAAGTGTGGTAACCTCAATTACAACATACAGGATCTTTAACTCAATGCTGCTAGAATAAATGTATATATTACTAGGCTGTGTATACGATTACTATACTACATTATTGAAATAGCATTACAAATATTCCTTTATTTTTAATCTTTAAACCACATAGATATTATTTGAAAGCGTAGGGAATTGATGTTTTATTCGGGCAACAGTGTAATAACTGATTTTATTGACCGCCATCCTTGTGGCGTGTTTGGAAATTGAACACTAGATCAAAATGTTTTCTTTAAAATTTCATTGAAAAAATGATGACATTTGTATCTAGTTAAGAAGAGAAGTTACGAAACATTTTCACCGTTAGTTACTTTAACCTTGCACTTGAAATTAACTGTACTTGACACCTTATACTTTCACAATTACTGCTTTTTGCACATTGTCTTATATCCTAAAAATGCATTGCGACTCATGAACTTATATACACCTTTTCCACCTGCATTACGAAACTATTATTATATGCGCTAAAACCACTAGCGTGCGAGCGCGCGTTCTTTTATATGCTTTTAAACCCAAAGAGACTAATAAAGCTTGTGATTAGAAACAAAAAATGTTTCTTTAAAACCTTTTGTCAGTGCAAAAATTGCACGGTAAAACTGCCAGCATGAATTTGTTACCATATCATTTGGATCAAGATGAAACATCTATCCCAGCCTCGTGCATCTTTGGGACGATTTTTTTATCTTTCCGTCATTATTAGAAAGATATAGGGCCACCGCCATCACATGTTTTTCTCATTTTTTAGAGGGGGGTAGTTGGTGTATGGAAATGATTTAATAGATTTTCCTGTCAAGTTTTTAAAGCCTATTACATAATCGTTTGTAACAGTCGTTCCCATTATATCATTATCCTCATAATGTAACCGACTTTCTTCTTGTCCGTCTTTCTATGCTGGTGCATTAAGGCCGAGTTACCCGTGTGTAGTTATCTGGTTTTGGTCTTCAAAATGTATTGTTTTGTTAAATTTCCCAAAATTTATAACCATTGTATTATTAAAACCATATACTTCAATACCGCTTTAACATGAATAAAGCTTGTGTTGCCACACGCTGGGGTTTATCTTTAATTAAAACATGGCGGGAAAGGACAGAGTTTGCCGAAGTTACACGAAGTACTGATAGATGGAACCTTTGGACATTATTAAAAAAGCCATATATGAAACTATACAAAATTTTATCTTTAAACAAAAGACATGTCAATTATTGTAGAATATATTAATATAATAGTAATGGTGTAATCATGGCGCACATTTTGCTGACAGTTACATACAATTAACATTATAAAGCCTGCAACTTGCCGCTAACACATACGCTTTGTATACTATAGCTATTAATGGGTCGTTAACTAGTTTACTAGACACGGGTGTGAGTAGTGTGAAACAGGTATTGGCTTATCTAAGTCCACGTAACATTGATAAAAAATACTAAATAGAATTATCCCCCCATTTTATTCATTGTAATTCAGTATATTCATAATGTGTTTCCATGGTAACGTATTAACAATTACAGGTGGAATGGGATCACTCGGTGCACTAATGGGAGGAATGGGCGGAATGGGAGCAATGGGATTGGGAGCGTTCGGTGCAAAATAGATTTGACCTTGTCCACGAGGAGACCTTCACACTTGACCTCTGAGAGGTCAATTAGGTGTTAAACAACAAAAGCGGAATTTTGGATTGCTGAAAATTTTGGATGTGTAAAGTCACAAGTGTTACGGATGACTTTATAACAATTCTAACTTAAGTGTAGAGAGTGAACCAATCAGACGAAGTCACGTGACAGATTTGATACATTATTAACATTTTGTCGCAAATTTATTATCAAGAAAAGATCCAAACACTGTACGGAATTCCCTACACTGTACAATAATTTTTCAGTTTGAATCTCCTTCAAGAAAAAATGTGATGTATTATAACTTTTTTCCCTTTAAGTGCCTGTTGTATTTTTATAAAAATAAATTTCTTATTAAATGGGACTCGGTATTGACAACGTGTCATATTGTTTGAAAATGTCAAAAAAAATGGTTTTAAGTATAATGCCTTTTTCTGACTTGTGTGAAATATATATACATGATGGCTGCAGCATCTTTTTCCCATTCGTTACGTCGACTTCCATTGGATCACGGGGTAACTTCTACACTTTTGTACCGCCGATTTTCATTGGACTTTGGGTTCAAATTTCTTACGCAGAACTTCACTGGACAATCGTAAATTATTATTATTAATGATAATCATAAACTATTGCTTAATTCTTACTTTAGGCATAGCAAGTTTGCAATTTTGCAATATCGTTATGAAGACTTTTGACTTGTATACACAAGTGTTTGTTACATAATCTTAAAAGTGATATAAAGCCAAACAACCTGATAAAATCTACATTTTAGCTGATCGCGATGTTCAATCAGTCAGTTCTTTTTCAAAATTCAAATCATTACAAAATCGGAATGTTTTTTTTTGCGTTTCTAAAAGCTGGAATTTTTATATATTTAATGAGGTCCAATATCCTTAAAGCATAAAAATTGAAAAACTTGCATATATCAAATGGGACACGTCAAACGAAAAGTTACCGAAAGATTGAAAAGAAATATACTTTCAATTTGATCGTTTTGTGCTTTTCTGCTTTTGCTCATTTTGCACAATCAACATGAAAATTTTAGAAAACTGAGTAAAATTTTCCATCAAGACGCAGGTGAAATGGCACTTAAATGTCAAACAAATCTTTCAAGTCCCATCATGTAATAAAAAACTGCCGAAGTAGGTTTAATGCACTCGATAAATTTTGTATTTTTAAAATAATAATAAAGAAATATATATATATTGTTTCACACACAATCAAAGAAATTTTATAAAAATCATGGGTATTAGTTTAACGAACTGGGTCCAAGATACGGACGGGATAATATAAACAATTAAAGGGTTGGTGTATTTATGAGAAGGAAACTGATATAACAAGACTTGGAAAATTGCCAATGGCAATAGACAGCGGGTACATGAAGGGGATCATTGAAATAATCAAGGGGATACACGGAGGGGTAATTGAAGTAATCAAGGGGGTGCACATATTTCAATGGGAAGGGACTGGGTGAATAATAAGAATAACAAAGTGGTAGGGGAAACGAAAAACAAAACAAAAATGGTACTAATGTCATGATGAATTATGACTATTACTTAATGAATATTGTAAATGTCAAACCTGTCTTACCTTATCTTAACAACTTACAATTAGGAAACTGAAAACATTTACCATGATATAGTTATTATATAAAACCCCATATACATGCAGTATCATCAGAAGTTTTAATTAACCGGATAAAACAGCTTTGACATACTGCCAATGTCAAATCATTCTTACCTGGTACATCTTCACTTAAAGTGTGAAGTAGAAAATAAACGAAAAGAAACAATTCTCAATAAAAAATAAAGTACAATAATTATAAAGAAAAGTGATGTAGACAGTTACCCAATTATAAGTTTAGAATAAATAATAAACATGGATTATATTAAACGAAAAAAAATGGATTGTTGTTTCCGGTAGATTACGGAAAGGTAACAGAGCAAGACCAATCTTCATGTAGAATTGGGAGTCTTACGCTTAGATAAAGCCGTTCTTTACTTTACCCAGACAAACCGTACCGGGTGAGTTGTCGTTCATGACAGTGTTGTAAATAAAAAGTAGTCCGGTATATACATAATGTATATTACTATATGTTTATTGTGTTTAGTTTAATTTATCTTAACTTTGTTTTGACTGTTTTTTTATTTGGTCCGGTTACATGTGATTTTCTTACTTTTTTATAATACAAATAGGTGATGCTGTATTTTCGAAACACACTGCATGTTTATATATATATTAAACTATTTATTATTATTGGCATGCACTAGCACCCAGCTTTCAATTCACATTTCACTTCACAATTTTAACAAATTAACTTAACAATTTGAAAGCTTTGATTAAATATGTTTTGTAACATTTCTTATTTGATTAATACTTTTGGCTCAGATTATTGTTGTTTGTTTTTGAAACATTTTGACCCTGTTCGCATGGTAATTTAAACAACAGAACTTGCATAAGGTTTTATTTTCGCGCATGCGCTTAACGCATGTGACAAGCTACGCATGACATACCGGCTTGAAAGTTGCATGTTATGTTATTTTAGGAAACCCTCTAACGACAAGCGCACTTCTAGCGGCTGTAAGCGGAGAACAAAATCCACTTACAACAGGTGTAACGCCTGCTCCCACACAAGTTTCTACTAAGAACGGTGCTGCGAAAGCAACGGCCAGCCCGCCCGTGACAGGGAAACCAGGTTTTGAGCTGGGAGCGAGCGTTGCTGTAGGTGACCGTGTCAAGATAACGGAGGCTGAGCGCAGGAAGGAGCAACAATTACAGATGGAAGAAAAGCGACGACTGATACAACTTCAGGACCAGAGATTGAAACAGAAACGTGAACATCAGGCACTACAAGAAAAGAGGCGTCAACAAGAGGAGATAATCCGCAGACAAGAGGAACAGATTAGAAGGCAACAAAGGATTCTTGAACAACAAGCAGCTAAACAATCTCAAATGTCAGGTATTATAGATCTTACAATATTATATATGTACTGGCATGCGAGCAGTTCCCGTACAGAAGCAGTACCCGTATTTTTCATTTAAACGCTTGATTTTTACTTGCATTCTTCAAAAATTCATTTCAAATTAAGCAGATACATAAACAAGACAAAATCTAAGTGTCAGTTCGGTAGTACGTATAAAAAGTCTCATTTTAAATCACTTTCACCTGTGCGTCGTCAAAACGTGACCTTGTTTTCTCTGGGGGATTCCGTCCTTGCGCGCATGCGCAAAAATACTTACACGTGAGGCTTGTTAAAGGGTTTTCCACTAATACCACCTGTTTACAGATAAGTCAGCAATGTGATGAAAACTTGTTTGATTATCAGAATTTTGACCAATATTACTATATAAAATAATTTTATGGCTTTGATGCGTAAAATATCATGCATACAAGCATGCTATTGCATGTGAATGCGTTGGGGTAACGGTACCGGGTAATTAGATACCCGCGTTTAGTCTACGCTCTATTTCCTGAATTACATCTATTTATCTCTTAGATAATGGTCTGTTCAACAATTGTAAATGAAAAATAGGTCCGACATAATAAAATTATATAATTACAATGGGTTAGATTTTATGTACGGGAACTACTTCTCTTCATACAAAATAATGGATAATTTCGGTACCCCATTTGAGGCCTCATAAGTAAGGGTTATTCTATGTTTAGAACATGATGGAATTTCCATGATTTGTGTTACGAGCCGAATATTGATGTGTAACATTTAAATTTTGGTGAGTGATCGTAATAAAAAATAATGTTTAAGTAACTATGATTTTTGTACGGGAACTGCTCGCATGCCAGTATATGTATTTATTTGAGTAATTTTGCAATGTATATTAGACGAATTAGGACAATTAGAATACTCTTATATAAATGTAAGAGTATATACCGGTATATGATAACATATTTAGTCGTCCTCTTTGAAAGCTTCAGTTATCCTATTCATGGTTGTGTACGGTGCTAGGGGCGTAGACGGTAGCTTGTGCTTTCCAATATCGTCCAAGAACACTTTCATGATAAGTTCCACTTTATGTAAAATAGAGAATAAAACACACACAGTCGTTGCTCCGGTTAATTAACTGTGGAGCTTTGTCGTTTATAAGCCACAATGGAGTACTTTCACGATCGTAATTTATTTGAATATCCATTATCACAATCATCAAATGCAAGCGGCCATCACCATTGTTTAATAAATTTACACCTTCGCACATGAACGATATGTTTTCTATTTCTTAAAGGTCTAGTTATGCCTCAAAATCTTAAAGGCCCATTATGCCCCAGAAACAAATAAAACATTTTTTTCGAAAGGGCAGTCATGAATTTTATAAGATTTTAAATAATGGTTTTAGAGGATGTCAGATGCTTTTTATCTAAAAAGGTAACACAAGTGTGATACAATTTATCATAAAAGGAGCAAAATGTAAAACATAGTAGTACGAGTATTTTGCCTACCATACAAAATAGTATTTCACTATTACTGTACTTATTGCCAAAATCAACAATAGAAAAAGATGGTTAACGGGCCAATGACAATCATTTTTTAGATACTATAAAAGTACACCGAATTAAAAAAAGCTTTTGAGAATAAAAGCATTTCTGAGGAATAAAGAGCCTTTAGCTTTGTAAGGTTGAAATGTGTTTTTAATATGACGTAAGATCAACAGAATAATGTCAAACCGAACCTGCAACATTTTCAATTTTGCCGTGTTGGACTTTGCTGGATTGTGCTTTTCTCTATTTATGGAATGAAGTATGGATTTCGCTTTAATTATAAATGATTTTAAAGATACATCTAATTGTTGACGTTATAATTTATTATTTTATTACCATATTAAGCAAAAAAGAAAATGCCAACCCAATCACCAGGTTCTCAACAACAACAAAAACAACAACAACAGCAGCAGCAGCAGCAACAACAACAACGTTACCAACAACAACAGCAGCAGCAGCAACAACAACAGCAGCAGCAGCAGCAACAACAACAACAACAAGAGCAGCGGCGGCGGCAACAACAACAACAACAAAACAGACAAAATCAAATAATGCAAGGACCACCACCTCCCAGAAACCAAAGGGGTCAACATAATCAAGGTAATGTCAATTATGACATAATAAATGACATAACCCTAACCCAAAGGGGTCAACATAATCAAGGTAATGTCAATTATGACATAATAAATGACATAACCCTAACCCTAACCTAAAGGGGTCAACATAATCAAGGTAATGTCAATTATGACATAATAAATGACATAACCCTAACCCAAAGGGGTCAACATAATCAAGGTAATGTCAATTATGACATAATAAATGACGTAACCCTAACCCTAACCCAAAGGGGTCAGCATAATCAAGGTAATGAGAATTCGATGATTGAGGAGCCTGTAGACGAGAGGCTATGTTCTAGTCTAAAGGAAAGTGAATGTTCTGTTTAATTTTCAAGGCACATGTCTCACAAACCAATAGATTTGTTCCTTTGTTATACAGGAAAAGCGAGTTTTACAATGTTCAAAATAATGGTTTAAGATAATAATTGATGCTGATACCTGAAGAAAGCTATACAAGTATGTAAATTCATTTGTCATAGAAAAGCAAAATGTAAACAAAGTAGTACTAGTATTTAAATTCCATATGAAATACTTAATCACTTTTATTTACTATACGGATTGCGAAAAAGCAACTAGAGGCTAAATATGGAGGGTGATAAGACGGAATGTACACCTTAGTCAATAAGGTCTAGGTCGGGTTAATATTCTGGTTTATAAAACTCGGTCGGATGTGGTTTTTTATTTATTACATAGAACAAACAATTTTTTAATTAAGAAAATGAGGTAACCGATGTGAAGCAGTATGTTTAAGTAGGTAATGTCATCAGGTACCAATATAGATTGTTACCCAATGATATTACATGACTTTATAGTCAGGAATCATATGGGGTATAAAAAATAATTATGTAATTTATGAACAGTTATGCCTTTATTTAATTGGCTAGGTCAATACGGAAGAATATTACAAATGAGCCGCGCCATGACAAAACCAACATAGTGCGACAATCATCCGCGCAGTCTGATCAGGATCCATGCTGTTCGCTATCAGTTTCTCTACTTCTAATAGGGCTTGTAATCGAACAGCATTGATCCGGAGCAGTTATTGGCCAATAATAAACTTTTTGGGGAAATATAACCGGACATCAAAAATAAAAAGCTTTTGAAAAATAAAAGCATTTATTATATACTTATAAATGAAATATTGATGAAATAAAATGCATATTTTCATTTTCCATATTTTCACTGTAAAAATTTATTTTTCACTGAAGTGAAACATATTTTCCGTATTTTCACTGGTGTCTTGCCGGACTACTTTCTTTTAAATTCTGCCTGTACACAAAATTTAATGAAAGTCTTTCAAATTTTAATGTCAAAAAAGAGAAAAATGTATATAATAAACAGAAAATTCAAGGTTTTTCTATAAATACATGATTTATTTTCATCTTGTGGCATGAAAATTACCATATTTCACTCGTGGCTACCGCCACTCATGAAATATTTATTTTCATACCACTCGATGTAAATAAATCATGTATTTATAGAAAAAACTTGAATATCCTCTATTTCTGACCCTTAAACGATAGGACCTAGTCATGAAAAATATAAAACAAATTAAAGAAAACTCAATTTGCATCGTATGCAAATGCAGATTTGATTAGCCAAATAAACGTTTTACCTAAATTATATATAATAAAACAGATATGGACTTTTTAGCTGGTAAATACATGTGATTTGTACTGAAAATCAATATTACATCATATTCACCAGTTTAAAAGTCCATATTTGTATAAAAGCTACATGCATTTATGTTTTCCTATAATTATTTTTTATTTTTTTATTTTTATCAACGAAAGTATTGTAGACAAAAGTCTCCAATTATTTAGTATCAATAATCTGATCGTCTGACAATATTTGACAAAATGTATTACTTTCATATCTAGTTATAATTTACTTATTATATTTAGGGCCGTCAAACGCAGGACCTTCCCCGACGCCACAACAACAAACAAATGCTAACAATGGCCCCGCCCAGCAGAACAACGGCCGCGCTCAACCACCGAACGCTGGAAACCAGCAACCTGGTTAGTGTTTATAACTTCTTACATCATTAAAGTAACCATATTTTTAATGTATTCTCTTTTTTTAAAATTATCATTGTTGCAAGTAAACTAAGTTTAAGAAAGTTCTACTTTAAAAACGAGCTATTTAATGTAATTATTTGGAAGGAGAATGAATATTTCTTATTACAATGTTTGCGCCAGATCTGTTTATAAACTGAAATGTTGTTATATGGATTGATTGATTGATTGAGTTAATTTTTTAATTATCTATTTATTATTTATTTATTTATTTATTTCAGGGGGTCAAATGGACTTTATGCAAATGCTTATGGGTGGCGGAGGAGGGGGCGGAGGAGGGGGCGGAGGTGACATGTTTGGTGGATTAATGTCAATGATGGGTGGCGGTGGAGGCGGGGGAATGGGAGGGGCAGCAGATTTAGCCAGTCTGTTTGGAGGAGGAGCGATGGGAGGAGGAGGAGCGATGGGAGGAGCGATGGTGGAACTGGAGGTGGAATGGATATGTTAGCTGCACTTACAGGTGGAGCTGGTATGGGAGGGGGTAATGTTGGTGGTGGTGGTGGTATGGACCTCCTGGCAGCACTTGGTGGCGCTGGTGGTGGAGGTATGAATCCTCTTGGTGGACTCGGTGGGGGAGCAACCGGAGGTATTTCTTCCAATCAAAATTTGATATCTATCAGATCTAACTGTTGTATTAAAAAAAGAAAATAAGCTTGGTTGGCAGAGTAAGGTTTATATAATTGGTTTAGTGACATAAAAAGATAACTATACCTCTTGACGACATTCCTAAATTCATTCTGCCGAATTACCACAATATTACTTTACCGAGTACCGAGTGTCAAATAAAGTTAAGAAAAATATATGTCACAAGAGATCAAAAGTGCTACAGATCAAATCAGTCGCGAAGCTATAATTAAATGTCCATATTAATAGCTTCAGAATGAGAAAAAAACCTACTGATATCTCTTTAAAATCTCTAAAAACTTGCAAAACGGATTTGTGATTCTACCCAGGTTCCCGTTTTGTATTTGAGATCATTCTCAATAGCGCATTCGAGGGTACTTTTATTTATATAATAAGAATGAATTTGGTTCGATTGTGTAGAAAGTTTTACGCTTACAGCCATCCTTGGGAGCAATGACTATACTGTTTATTGCTGACTTGTCCCTGGTGGGTTTTGAACCGACGCGGCGACATATTTATAAACAAACCTGAAAACAGGAATGGTTCGGATCTTTGTTTAAATTATATATGTGTTTATATGTATGTACGACTATGCACATACATTTATCTTATTTTTGAAGAACATAGTTTTCTCTGGAATTGAAAAACAAACGCTTATCTTGGTTAGTGTTGTGAAAGATATGGTCACATATATTTTTAACTTTTCTTCTTGGATCACTCCTTCTCCTTTATTCTTTTCTCGTTTTCTTCTGTTATCTTTATCTTTTATATTCAAGTTCCTCCATAGAAATTAACAGTAAATTTCACAAAGAAAATTTCTTTATTTTTGTTTCAAATTTTTTCCCCTTTTGGGTAGGGAGGAGCGGGGGGGTAAAGGCGGGCCGGCAGGCTGGGTTTGCATTAGGGGGCTCCCCTCCGGCTGCCCGGGACAGGGTTTGAATCCAATGGGTGCAGGCAGGCCTTTGGGTTCCAGGTAAGAACACCAATTTTTTTGACGTGTGATTTAGGTTACAAAATATGACAATTTTTTTGATTAAGTCATTAAAATAGATTAAAACGGACATTTAATTTTTACGGTAATGTAAGTTTTAAAAAACAGGAAGCCAATAACATTGGCTTTAAATTTGTGTTTCAATTATGATAAACCCGGAACATTTAATGCTGCATGGCCTCCAAATGAGCCCGAACATAACTTTTAAGGGAAATAACCCCTGAGATAAAACTACAAACGTTTTATTTTTTTTAAATATTCACAGTTCAAGAAATTTATTTCATGGTAAAAATGATATACAATTAATTTCCTGATTGTGAAGGGTAATTAACACCATAATTTCTACCTACATACTATATGTTTTTTATTTAAAAACAAAACCTTATTTTTTGGAAAAATTTAAAAAATTTTGCCGACTTGAAATAAAACATTTATCTTACCGGTATCTTATATAGTGCATGGTGAAAGAATCGATCTTTATTCTAGATTCTCCCTTTCAGGAATGGATACACTCATTCAATATGCTCTATATCTTATATAGTGCAGGGTGAAGGAATCGATCTTTATTCTAGTTTCTCCCTTTCAGGAATGGATAGAAATCAGGTAGCTGATCTGATGGGAGGTAGACCTGGACCATTCCCCATGATTTTCCAGGAAGCCTTGTTTGAGAGAACAATGGGAAAAACCCCCCGGGTTTTCAAAGCTGTTTCCCTTTGGTTAGTACATTTAAACGCTTGTTAAAACGCCATTTCATTTTTGTGTGGTTTGGGTTTGTTACCCTTTCCCCCCGGAAAAAACCCAAATGGGCGAGCACAAAAATTTCATTTAAAACTTTGTTTAATTTTTATATGGAAATTTTTAATTTTAATTTTGTCTACTTTTTCGGTACATGTTTTTAAACGTTGTCCCAAAATTTCCTACCCAAGTTTCGTTAAAAAGTACGTAACCGTGATAAGGAATGATGGGATTGCTCCCATACTAAGTTAAAATGACGTGTAATTTAAAAAAATAACAGCATATTTAAAATTAACCTAAAGGTTAAAAGGGCCGAGGGACGTTTATAAAAAGCAACCGTTCCTTATAACAGGGTTGCAAACTATTATAATATTTCTATTGATTAAAATGATAGAAAGAAAGTCTGTTAAAGCAATGTCAGGAGCTGTTTTCCCAATTCAATGTGGCTAGTTCATTAAAGGCCTAATTTGATCAGATACATACACAAAGGAGTGTCAGAATAACTGCTTTCGGAGTAATATACTAAAATTCGGAACGATAACAGAGAAGATTTAGCATGGCCCCTGCCAACACCACATTCCTGAGGGGGTCATTAGGTTAATTTGCTTAAAAGCTTGATTCAGAAGCGGATAGTAAATGTACAAATGGCGACATGAGAGACAATGGTTCTCGACCAATCAGTGAACAGCTTACAATACCCATGTTCGGCATGAAAAACCTGAAAAAGATATCTTTATTGCAGTTTTTTCGATTTAATTATGATATTTGGTTAAAACATAAACAATATTTCAGAACATGTTTGTATGTAATTCGATATATATACAATTTTTGATTTTAGAAGTGAACTTTTTCAAAAATACAATCATTTATATTAAATTTTTCGAACTTTAAGTTTTTTTCGGTTTTTCAGCACTTAAAAGAAAGAAAATGGTATATCAGATTCAAACGATTTAGAGTAGAACAAAATCTTGAAATACTTCCTCACTAAATACATATAACATGTATTACAGAAAAATAATTTTCATACGATTTTCAACTTTAGATTTATTAATTATTGAATAGATAAATTGATGTACCATAGAGGTTAACGTTCCTCATATTCTATCCACTACGAAAAACAAGAAAATGGGGTATCAATTCTAATCACCTAGACAAGATTGAACATTTGTAATAACTTTTTCGTTAAATAGTTTATACAGACATTATAGAGTCTCTTTTTCACCTAAGAAATAGGTCTTTATAGCTTAAAAAATTACGTTTATAAAAAGGTGTACATGCAGTTTAATTCCTCTAAATTTCATATATGACTATACGTACGCGGCCCACTTGTTGGCTAGTAACCAATCAAAACAAAGTATTCAATAAAATTGTATAAATGGACAATATGATTGGTCACAGTATATTAAAATGATTTTTTCGAGTTTTAGTTAAATAGTTAGATATTTTTTATAGTTTTTTTCGATTTAATTGTGATATTTGGCTAAACATAAACAATATTTCAGATCAATGTTTGTATGTAATTCGATAATATATACAATTTTGATTTTGGAAATGATGAACTTTTTCAAAATCCAATCATTTATATCAAATTTTTCGAACTTAGGTTTTATCGGTTTTTCATCACTTAAAGAAGAAAATGGAACATCAAATTCAACGATTTAGAGTAGATTACAATATCTTGAAATACCTCCTCATAAATACATATAACATGTATTACAGAAAATAATTTTCATCATTTCAACTTTTAGATTAAAAATTATTTATATATAAATTTTGATGTTCCATTGAGGTTAAACGTTCGCTCTATTTCTATCCATTACGAAAAACAAGAAAATGGGGTATCAATTCTAATCATCCTAGATAAGCGCTGAACATTTGTGAATAATTTTTCGTTAAAATAGGTATACCGAGACATTATTAAGAATCTTTTTTTTTAACTAAGAAATAGGTCTTTATAGTCTAAAAAATACGTTTATAAAAGGTGTACATGCATTCTAATTTTTTAAAAATTTATATATGACTGCGCACACTTGTGGCTGGTAACCAATCAAAACACAGTATTTTCATAAAATGTATTAAATGGGGGACAATATGATTGGTTTACAGTATATTAAATTGATTTTTTCGAGTTTGTTAATGATATTCAGAACTTTTTCGTTTTTTCTAAATTAATAAATGACCGACTCATGTCGTTGTTGGTGCGTTGGTCGATTCTGATTTCGGCTTGCCATATAATTAAACAAAAGATCCAGGTCGTCTATACGGGGGTGGCAGGAGGAATGTAACTAATTTATGTAATTAATTAACCATTAATTTGTATAGGTTGTAATGGATGCACGTATTTGTCATTTTTGACCTTTTATAACTTTTTAATGATATTGTTCTCTATCTAGAAAGAAACTGCTCAATTAAGTATTTTAGTTTTTTGCTACTGGTTAACAATCTATCTTTTCGCCTTTATCGGGAGGGGAGTTTTTACTTTCAGTGGGATGGTTAGACTCACTGGGTTAAAATGTGGTATACAATTCTGTGAGGTTGCCAGTAGAATTTTATTACTGCTATGATTGAGAAATATTTACTTATTAACGCAACGTTGAATTTCGGAATCCTAATTTCGCGGCCGGACGCGGGCGGTGTTGCAAATTTACATTAACTTTCTTTTGTTTTAAAATGTTGTTAGGCATGTAAAACTTTATTTTTAAATTTGGGAAAAATATGTATTTTCTGTCTAAAATATTTATTTTTTTAAACTGCCCCCTTTAGGAAGTGGGGGGAAAACGGAAGTCAAATGTGATTTTTAAAAATTTTAAATAAATTTTTATTTTAAAATTGGGGGGTTCAACATCCCAGTAGTTTTAAAATTTTGAAAATTCCAAATTTGGTCGAAAAAAATGGGAAGGAAAGGGCTCCCTTTTCCCTAATTTTTAAAAAGATTTCCAAAAGTGTAAATACCCTTACCCCCCTGGGGTTTATTTTTATTTTTTCTTTTTGTCCTGTTAAAAAAACAAAAAAGTGTATGTGTTCCCCATATGGGGCATAAGTTATACGGCATACACTCAAGTATGAAGTGGCCTTATATTTGTTAAAAAAAAGGTCACTTTCATCACATTAAGGGTAAAAAGATATTACTTAATAGCCATATTTTTGGGAATTTTCTAATCTAGATTAGACGCATTGATTTAAAATTGCTATTTTACAAGCGTTTTGTTGTTTTATCCTTATTTTGTTAATAGTTGTAGGCATGATGCAATAGTACAATGGAGTGTTAAGGGCACCTGCTAAATCTCTATCACGTTCGCGCGACAAACTTGTCGATAATAGGTCAATCCGAAATTAAGAAAATTTGCAAAATATCAGCAAAATCGGATTAAACTCCTTAATTTTGTAAACAAAGAAATTTCGGCCAATGAGAACAAAGGAGGCAATCACTTTTAGACCAAATTAGAACATTCTTTAACTAAGCAGGTGTTCGGGTGAAATATACCAGAAAATTATCAATTCTATCTTTTCCACACTAAAACAAACTTGTTTTTTTAATATTTCTTGACACTCCTTTGTGTATGTATCTGATCAAATCAGGCCTTTAATGACTAGCACATTGAATTGGGAAAATGCGTTCCTGACATTGTTTAACAAGACTTTCTCTCTATCATTTTAATCATAGAATATTATAATAGTTTGACTGTTATAAGAGACGGTGCTTTTTATAAACGTCTCGGCCCTTTTACGCTTAGGTAATTTAAATATGCTGTTCAATTTTTTTTAAATACACGTCATTTAACTTAGTATGGGAGCAATCCATCTTATTCCTATCATGGGTTACGTACTTTTATAACGAACTTGTGGGTAGGAATTATGGCACACACGTAAACACATGTACCGATAAAACTGTAGACAAATTAAATTAGTTCCCATATAATTAAGCAAGTTTTAAATGAAGTATGTGCTCGAACCATATGGTTCATTCCGGTGGCGAGGGTAAACAAACCAAACACACACACACTCAATCATGGCGTCTGTAATATCTGTACTGTATAGTACTAAACACAGTTCCTTACGAAAGTGAAGGCAACTAGTACTAGTTAACTGCTTGACAGCCTGCCCAGGAACGATGCGGTGGTTGAACTATGCTCTGGTGAATTCAATATGGCTTAATGTCGTGATCCGGAGTGAAAACTACCAACACCACCACCATACTAAACACATCCACTATATTTATGAATAATTTTACGTTCAGTAAAAGGAAGCAGACAGATATATCCATTTTTATTATACATTGTAGGAGATAAATTACAAAGACGGTTTAGTAATCCACTTGGTGCTGCGGCGGACATGGCATTAGCCAGTGCTTTGGCTGGATCTGGGGCACCCGGAGGCGGGTTAGGGGGTGCAATGGGAGGTCCTCCAGGTAATCTTTGCTCCAGATTAAATATTTTAACCAACAATTCTTGTTTTATTACTTAACTGTCAAGTGTTAAGGTTTTTTTTTTACTTTTTGATATCGAATGCTAAAAGTATAGCGCGATAGCTCAGTTTGCTAGACCAACTGACTGTCACTCCTGAGGTTCGGGTTCGATCCGGGGTAATACCCTTAGGATTTTTCAGAAACACTTTCAGTGTTTCCCTACCTAAATAGAGGTGTACTGGTAAGAAATACAGGTAATCCTCGCATGTATAAGTGCTATACACTGGGCATGTAAAAGAACCAAGGGATCTATTCAATAAGAGCTAGGGACTGGTTCCCGGATTACCTTGTATCTCATTGCTGTCTCTAGAGTCTGCTGAGGTAAGGACCCTACTGGAAATAAGTGCTTGCACTTTCGTAGGTTATCTTTGACCACCCGGTCAAAAGAAAATCAATCAATCAATCAAGTATGCAGTCGCTGATATTGGGTCATGTCAAAATTCTTATTTTAGAGTATAACTAAATAGGAATGTTTTATAAGCACTGTTTAGCAATACTTAAAGATTTATATGCTTAAATAGTCATGTAAGTTTAATAACAATAGTTTTAGTTAAGAAGTAAAACAAAATACTGCTTATTGTCATGACGTCAAAGACATAACGACGTAAAGTTGCTTGCTCTGCAATTGACATAAAACGTTCTGTTTTTACACAATTACCATTTGCTTTTGGCAATGAAGGGGAAAAAGACGATCTAAAATCAAAACGACTTCACAAGATTACTTTGTATACTTAGAAATATGACATATTGCGTATTATAATAGGAAAAAGCAAGTAGGTAAGCTACGCTATGAAAAGAAACCCAAAAACTGTATAATGCAATAATTCGTCCTGGGTAACACTTTAGTAATCACTACTTTCAACCTTAAAATGAAAGAAGTGTTTCATAATCATTAACACAAAGTTTACTCTTTTATTTCAGCGGGTCCACAAAGAGGAGGCCCGGGTCCTAGGAGACGCCCTAGTCAAAGAGGCGCTGGTGGGCGAGGAATATAACTTTCTAAATAGGGCTTAAACATTTTTGTACAAACGCATAATCAAATGTTTATAAAAGAGAGATTTTTATAATAAAAGCTTTAAAGTTATATATACGTATTTCGCTATAAAATGTTTATTGTCGAATTAGATTGTCATAGAGCATTTTTACATAGTTTTATCTGTGAATAGAGCATTGCTTAAGGGCGTTTACATTTTAAATTATGTAACTTGGTCTTTTGAAGTTTGATGTTAGCGTATGATACAAAACCTTTTTGTATTGCAACATATATATATATTTTTTTTCCGTTGAATATCTATGATTTTCTATTTCTGGATAAAGCATGGAGTAAAAAAAAAGTCGCCCTTCGAGAAATTATCCACCTTAGCTGGTAAACTAACAACATAATTAAAAGATATATAACTGTAATATGATGTTTTCGGATATGTAGTATCTTAAAACGGTGCATTTGTTCTTAAATTTTGTTGTAGATTTAACCTTTAAAACTAATTGCACATTTAAACTCTCAGTCTTAAATACATTCTGTGAAAGGAGATGATCTTTGAAAGTTTTAATTTGAGTTTTTTTCTTTGTGATTTTTGTAAGTATTTTTTCGACTTGAACTTTTCCGACATGATTGTATGTTTCATATCACGTGATTTCAGTTTCACAGAAACATTATTTGTTTTGACGACATTAAGTTACATGTAAGTCACGTGTAAATCACGTGTACCGCTGTCTATATCACTTGCATATTATGTGTTATGCTTGCTAGTAAAATATGCCCTGTGTTTTCTAGGTATTGTAGGCGCCACGGCAATACAATCGTTACGGTGATTCCCGCCATTTACAAATGTCTAATAAATGTATGTTAAAATGTATTATTTATTTTGTTCAATAAAATCAATTAATATGATAAATGTGTACGTTTGTTTGATAGTTTAGTTCCCATTGATAAATAGTGTTGCAAATGTTCTAAAAAAAGCGATTATTCGCATATTGTGTTGCTGTAATTCGACCATTTGCTGATGCCAAATAAAAGAGCAGTCGTTACAGAGTCTATATACACAGATAATCAAGCTAGGGGGACGACCTTTGAAACAGATACAACATACTATACAAAAAACACTCAGCAGTTACTTCCCCTAAATGTCTTTGTCGGCGTAATTAATTAAGACTTAATTCCCCCACCCTAAACAAACAAAAAAACAAACCAAAAACAAAAAAAAACATAAAAAAAAACAAAAACAAAAAACAACAACAGAGAAGCAACATGAAAACAGTTTCCTTTTTCACCGTGCTTTAAAAGCATTTACTTTGTTCAAATCTAGACAGAAAAAAAGTTTGGTTTTGGCATATTTGGTGTATTAAAATCTGTCGAGTGGTATGATTTATAAATACAGATGGTTATTTTATCAAGTGAATAAAGTAAAAATATATAACATGGTATCACGATAAGAAATAAGATACATGTATGAATTCTTAATTTCCTTCAAAAATGAAGAAATACATGTTATACGAGTTATATACACATTACAATATTAACAAACAAAATGAGGTAAAAATGAAAGAAACATAAATATATACATATATATTTATGTCAAAACTATGAATGTTGTATGAAGATGAAGTAAGTTATGATTTGGCAAAGAGATAATATATACATGAAGAGAAAAAAATAACAAAGAGATAATTAATACATGAAGAGAAAAATGCCCAAATTATTGGCTTTATATAAAGAAGGTGTTCAAATCAATCCTCTGGCCTAAGAGTCTTAGCGATTCTTTACGAGGTTATTCGAATTTTGAGTGCAATATATCTATATTACCACACACCCGTGCCGATTTTGCGACTCTGCGCCGAGCATATATTTTGACGTGACATCATGAGCGTAATACAAACATAGACACGCTGAATGTTCTCACTTAACTGTAGGCGCTTCAGTGAAAAATGACTCTTTTTCAATTTAAACTGTTTTTATTTTGGGTGTATGATAAAAATGAATATTCAATTCGTGTCAGTACATTACTGTATTTATTGAACTCGTCAAATAAAATAATATTATGCTCGCCAGAAGCTCGCATAATGTAATTTTATTCAACTCATGCAATAGATTCAGTATTGAACTTACAATCATTCAATGTCCTCTATTTATAGAATTATCGCCCCTGGTAAATGAAAAAAAGATTTGACAATATAAAATAAGATACTGTTTTGTTTTTTTTCAAAACTCGTTAATAACATCTTTATTTAGGGGCGAAAACATTAAGTATGTTGTACATAGAATGAAACTTTCTTAATAACATTTTGTACCAGGGCGTAAATATTAAGTATATTATACATAGAATGAAACTTTCTTAATAACATTTTGTAACAGGGCGTAAATATTAAGTATATTATACATAGAATGAAACTTTCTTAATAACATTTTGTAACAGGGCGTAAATATTAAGTATATTATACATAGAATGAAACTTTCTTAATAACATTTTGTAACAGGGCGTAAATATTAAGTATATTATACATAGAATGAAACTTTCTTAATAACATTTTGTAACAGGGCGTAAATATTAAGTATATTATACATAGAATGAAACTTTCTCAATAACATTTTGTACCAGGGCGTAAATATTAAGTATATTATACATATAATGAAACTTTCTTAATAACATTTTGTACCAGGGCGTAGATTTTAAGTATATTATACATAGAACGAAATTTTCTTAATAACATTTTGTAACATGGCGTAAATATTAAGTATGTTGCACATAGAACGAAACTTTCGTAACATTTTGTACCAGGGCGTAGATTTTAAGTATGTTGCTCATTGAATCTTATCAATGCAATAAAAACGGATTTCACATAGGCATTAGAAGAAGTTTCAGAATGCCGTTATACTTGGAAGTTAAACAAATTGTTGATTTTTGTGAGATGAAAAATGTTTGAAGTAATTATTTTCAAATAATATAAAAACTAGGGTAAATATTTAAATGGGCAAGATTGTTTTGACAGTTTACCTGTCCGCTATATTGACAACGCGATGTTTGTTTTCCGAATTGGGAAAATTGCCTATGCAGTACTGGTTTTCCCAGGGTTAAAATAAGAAACCACATCGCTTTCCAAATTATGAAAGCACGCTGATGATTTGCGGTGTCACCAGAAATAATTTCGTATTTAGTCACGGTCAGATCTAAAAGCGGAGCGTTATTTAGAGCTGATATATATCAGATTGTGTATTTCCTTTATTTAAATGAAATGCTCACCGAATTAATCGGGGCTATGCCTACTACAACTTTAAAATATTGAGTCAGAATCATTTGATCAACTAGTTTGAACACGGGTAACCAGCTTTAAAGATTTAAATAGTTCAATTGATCAATTTTGGGTCTAAATTTAGGAAGTCCTTATCAACTTATATAAATACATCTTTTAAAATTCTGGAAAAATGGTGATCCCTCGGAAGCATTAAACACAACAAAATAACATGAACCTGGGCATTACAGACCCGGTCTGATTGAGTCTGTACATATGGGTAAAAATCATCACCCATTCCTCATCCCCCCTAGCACCGGCTAGAGTGGTACTCAATTTTCCACACTTAAAGAGTGCTGGAATCCTGAAGGTACAGAATAAATATTAACACTTAACCATCATACCAGATGGAACAGGTATTTGCAAACTGACCGCTGCCACCAATGTAACATCTTTGCAGATTGATAACAAAGGGTTGTAAATACAATCAAAGCAATTACCTTCCTTGGATGGTCAGCAGCTGAACAGGGTCTACCAGATATACGTCTAACTAACAATCGTCAATATGGCGTCACTGAGCTAGCTTACAATCGCACTTACCTCACTGGTCCGGTGTGCTCGGAACTATTGCTTCCGGTATGCTCGTCAACCTCCGTTAACTTCCGGAACCTATACCAAACGGTACTACATAAGCGACTTAACCAACAGTTGTTTTAGTACTCTGTTTTGAAACGTCGTATTTACACAAAACCTTGATTTAGTTTTATATTGCATTCTTGAGCTGACGTTCAGTTATCATATCATAGATGTCACATATCGTTAATGTTCGAAATTTATTGTTATATTATTATGAAATTTTAGCTAGAGCTAAAGAAGAAATATACTCAATTGAGTGAAAAGCGATGCAACGCTTTTAATTTTGGGGCAATTTTGCACAATATAATGATTATTCCGGAAAAAACGGCGCAAAGTAATGATCTGAAAACGTTAAAACTACGGATGCACAGAGGTGACAAGTGTTTGTTTTTATTTATCTTGTGCGATTTTTGTTGTTGTTTATATAGTTTTTGTTGCTGTTTTTTTTATTCGGTTTACATTTCGCCACATTTAGCTGCCCACATTTCCAACATCGTATTTTTCGAGTGTAGTGCACAAATAGACTTCAGCATATGCCCCATTCCAATTGCGAACCTGACCTCGTGTTCAGTAAAGTTAGAGGATCTTATTTATCCACATAGATGCAATATTTAATGATAACCTGATAGCACTGGACTTGAAATGGCATGTTTATACAATTTTATAATTAATTAATTGTTATTTTAAAAGATATGATTACTGTTGATCCAATATTGATATTGATCCTAAAATTGATAGTTATTTTGATCCGATTACTTTTGTATTTGTTTCGATATTCGTCGATTTTATCCAAACATTTGTTTCATTGCAAATAAGCAAAATGTTACATCATCTTTATGTAACATTCAATTCTAGTTTTAAAAAACAATGAAGATAAAATCACTTGATCCTAATCCTGATCTTTTCTCTATTAACATGGGGCCTGATTCTTTTTTCGTGCCTGGTGTTAACCCCTGAGCATCGTTTTTTAAGATCTCATCCGAAAGGCCATTTATAAGTGTTGGCGGACGTGGGTAGGCGAACCTGCCATCCCTGGATATCTTGTCCAGTGCGTCACTGCCTCTAAGTGTGTGTTATTATGCTATAAAATCACTGTTTGACAATCTATATTTAGATATGTGACGTAATCATTACACACGTGACGTAACCAATAAAAATGTGACGCGCTGACAATAAGTACAGAAACAAATCAGGCGCAATTAAGCTAATTATAATGCACGGCAGCATTTATTTGTTGATGTCGTGCTAGAATCGAAATAATATATCCAAATCTGTGATTTTATTGCTTGATAAAATCACTGTTTGTCGTTCGGATGCGCATCATTATATCACTCGGGCAGCGCCCTCGTGATATAATTCCCCGCATCCGAACTCCTAACAGTGATGTTATTGAGCAATAAAATCACAGTTTGGGATATATTATTTCTTAAATAACCGTAGTGACGGGTTTCTGTGTTTCTTAAATTAGACGCTAACAATTACCAGTAAATAGATTATTATTTCAAAAAAGTGAATAAACTTATGGCTGATGACGAAGTTAGTTAGAAGTTAGCTCAGGGGAGTTCCTTTAAAGTACCAGAACTTTCGGTTCGTAATTACAAATAACTGATTGGTAGTTTTCAGTGATAATATTATATGAGTAATTGTCTATTCAAGTATAAGATGAATTGACAATAACACATTATTTTATATAAATATTACTTCTTTACCAGGTAAAATAACTTGTAAAAAGGAAACCACCTTCCATATTGCATCAAATTTCAGACAAGTTCAACAAGTTCTTGCTAAATTATGTATTCTCGTGAAAACGAAATGATTATTTGCTCCAAGTTATTTAAAAAAACCTTTAAAATGTCAAAAAGTTATGAACAGAACAGAATTTTATTTTATTTTGAATAAAGCATGTACAGCTCATCATCATATACCTGCATGAATATGTTCTGTTCTATCAAAAAGTTATTGACACTAAGTGATGCCAAACCGACCCCTAGTATACTACTATTAGGTCCTTAAGTGTGATTTTCACCTCGGG